TGGTCCAGGAGAGAGCAGTTTTCAGCACAGAGGGGGACACCCCGAAGGAAGGGAGGGAAAGGAGATTCCCCAGGACAGAGCGCAGGAAGGAGACAGGAGGGGCAAAGAAAGATGCTTTGGGGTTCCTGCTAGCTCATGATCATGTAGTGGGGTAGGAAGAGTGGCCGGAAGCTGAGGTGTGAGTCCAGGATCGTCTATGACCGTGGGATGGAAAGGAAAGGGTGGGCCTGGACCGTGAGGAAGGGGGTCGATGTGCAGGGGCCGGGCTCATGGTGGGGACTGAGAGAGAAGGGGCAGTGGACCCTGCAAGGCTCCTTCTGCAGAGACTGAGTCTGCCACACCCTTGGGCGTGAGCAGGGGGATACCCTGGTAGATAAGAGGCTCTAGAAAGGCACAGGAGGACGTGGAGAAGCCAGGAAGGACAGCAGAGGCAGAGAAAAGCTCTCTGCCATTTCCTTTTATAAATAGGGGAACATTTGGCAACGCCATTGGTTCAGAGCCATTGGTCTCCTGAAAATCTGCTCCCCTCAATCCTGTCTTCCAATGGCACCTGCTCAGGGAGGTCAGTGCGTTTATTCTGGGGAGCAAAGTCCATGAGGGTCAACCAGATGGCCAAACCTGTGGGACCTTCTAATCTTGACTTTTCTGGAAGTGAATGCTGTCTGGGGGAGACTCCAGTCAGCACTGAGCTGTGCTCGACAGATCAGGAAGAGGGGACACTCGCTGTTCCGGTAGGCGAGGTCTGGGGTCCTGTTCAGTTCAGCTGCACCTGCTCCTGCTCCTGCCCAAGGTCAGGGACAACACCAGCAGTCACACTGGCTGGGAAGCCTCTGCCAGGCATGGAAGGGAGAGGGAAGCGGGTCCAGCTTGCCCACCCCTGGGGCTGGGATCTTCCATGGCCCAGTTTCTCTCCAGTCCTGGGAGAAGGAGAAGGGTGCTATCAATCACAGTTGTAAATGAAGGATTTTGGGGCTTCTCAGCTTCTCATCTCTTGTCTTCCACACTCAGCTGGTCAGCTAGCTCTCTAGTGAGACCCTCTAGTGGGCCCTGGGGTGTGGGGATGGGGGCACAGCCCTTCCTTCTGGAGCTTAGATTTGGGAGGTGAGGACAAGTGAGCAGGTATAAGCACTGTGGCAGAGAAGGCTCAGCCCTCCATACCTACAGACAGGTGTGTTTCAGAGGCTCAAGGGAGCCAGGTGTGGTGATGCACACCTATAATGCCAGCACTCTGGGAGACTGAGGCAGGAGGGTTGCAAATTCAAGCCCCACCTGGGCCACTCAGTACCTCACTAAAGTGAGAGCCTGTCTCCAAATAAATACAGAATGGGCTGGGAAGGCCACTCAGCGTGAAGGCATTGGGTTCAATCTCCAGTACTTCGAAAGGTGGAGGCGAGGCAGGGAGAAGGAAGCCAAGGAGAGGGAGGGAAGGGGGAGCGGGAAGAGGCAGGGATCCAGACAGCCGGGATGGAGTGACAGTGAGGCCCGGCTTAGCTGCTTCCTCTCTGGGGCTTTCCCTGAGGCCTCTGTTCCTTCTGGGAAGAAGCTGTGGCCGGTGCGGGGCCAGCCCCAACACCCTGCGGGCTGGCCCGCCTGCACCTTCCTTCCCAGAATTGCTGTCTCCCGGCCTGGCTTGTGCTCATTCTCGTTTCAATAGATGAGATAATTGTGTGCCCATAGGGCTGGGATTTCTGCCAGGGATGAAGGGTGCCACCCCGGCAGGAGCATGGGCACCACAGCCCTGGGGGAGGAGCAGGACACCCGAGATGTCGTCTCCAGTTCACAGGGGACCCAGCAACTCTCAGGAACAGGCAGCCCCCTGGGGGCTGTCTCTGCCAGGAGAGGGTCCCGAGTGCAGTGGAGGTGCAGGCTGGGAAGACAGGAAGTGGGAGAAGAGGGCTGGGCCCGGGAGACAGGCACTCTTTGTCTCTCCAGTCCTTTGCGAATTGGGCAACGTTTGGCAAGCAGACAGCATGGCAAGCATTCCCACCTGTTGCCCTTCGGCCACGCTTCCTCCTGGTGGTGGCCCTACCTCTGCACCCTCAGGAAATGCCCTGACCGCCAGGGCCTTCGGCTCCCCTCTGGGGCCAACACAGGACCTGGTGGCCTCTGGAAATCAGTGTCTCTGTGGCGGGATCTCTGTGGACTTGGTGGTAGAGAAGCAGGGAGCTCTCCATCCACCTCGTTCCCCTTCTCGGCTCTTCTCTTCTGATCCACAGCAAAGGAATGCTTGATACCAAGGCACCAAGTGCTCCAGGGGATCACGGGTCCCCTCACCTGGGAACCTGAGCCATGCGCACCTAGGATTAAGGACAGCAGCTGGTGTGTGGACGGCGCTGGACCATGCCCAGCTCCCAGAGGGTCTTTGGTTGCTGGTATCCGTCCTGCTTCGAGCCACAAGGGGATGGTGACTGTCATGGCAGGACTGGTGTTAGAGCCTCATGTGGTGGTCACGGATTGCTCTGTGTGGAGTTAAAAGCGCCATCCCTAGGGCTACGATGTCTGTCTTCATGCGTGGGATGGTGGAGCTGCATATATTCATACCTGCCCACCCAGCCTGGGCACCACGGGCCACCCACCTTGACAACATGGGCTGAGCCATTAGGGGTGCTGGCTCTCCAGGTATTGTGCTGGGTGGTTGCACTGGCTGATTCCTACAGTGTAACTAAAGCCACCCTGCTGGTTAACTCACCACAAAATCCCTCAAAATTTAAAAAGTAGCTCTTTTCAAACCCAGAAACCACCTACCAGGGGCAGGCACAAGGAAGTAGACCCCGGAGACCCTTTGGTCAGCTCAGATAGAGACCTCGGGGAGGCCTCTTTTCATTTGTCCCATCTGGAGCTGGGGCTGCCCAGCCCCCTCCTAGTTCTCCTAGAGGACCCCTAGAGGAAGGAACAGGGCTTACAGTCTGGGAGGAACCTAGTTCCTTGCGGAGGAGGACTCCGACTTGCTATTCTGCAGGGTGTGAGGGTGCCAGTCCCCCAGGCCTGCTTGTTACATACCAGCACTTGCTGTTGTGTGGTGGGCTACACTGCAAGCACACTCTGTCTTAGTATTTGGAAACCTGCATTCTAATTCCTTGCAGGGCTTCCTTGTGGGCAGGTAAATGAGTCCATGGACACAGGCCCTGGGAGGCCCAGCTCAGCCAGCCTTGCCCTTGACTTTCTTCAGACTCTAAACCTCCAGGACAGCCCGTCCTCATGTTCCTTCAATTGGTCATGAGCTTCGCCTACTGCATGGCCAGAGATGACTGGTGAGAGATGGCAGGTGCCTCCATGGCTCTGTGTTTGGGGTCTGATGGAAAGTGAGGGGAGGGGAGCACCCTGGGGTGGAGGAGCAGGTGATACATTTCAGGGGCAGAAATCTAGGTGCCTAGAGGACCCACGAAGGGAGCTATCCAGAGGCAGACAGACACATGGTATGGAGCTCAGGGCAGAGCAGAACTTCCCAGCCAGCACAGAGGGACATTTCATTGTCCCTGGTCCCCAGGCACTGGTCACTCTGCTGGGCTCTGCCTCTCTCTGGAGGCTCCCTTGTTGGAATCTTGCCCTACCTGTAGGTGCCCCCACTTGTGGTCCCGGTTCTGTGTCCCTGCTGACACTGTCACACATACGGGGGGCCCAGGGGTCCCGACCTCCCAGGGCATCCTGTTCGTGATTTACTCTCCTGTAGAGACCTGGGTTGTGATATTTCTTCATTCTTTTCTAATCACAAAAAGGTGCGGCCTGGTTGCTAGCTCAGGTGCTGTCCCAAGATGCTTTAGCACCCTTGAGAATTAGTCAAGTACGTATTTCTTCACCATTTTTGAAATGGCTTCTTGCGATTATCCATGGGAGCAATTTTTAGTGTTGCGATATCTTGTTTCCAAACAAGGGACCCTGGCCTGTCACTCCCAGTTGACCCGTCTAGCTCTGAGATTCTAGCTCTGAGCCCCAGACACCCCCACTCGTGCCAGGCAAGCAGGACTCCTGACCAGTCCCTTGGGCCCTGGAAGGACTACGCCCAGTGGTGGAGAGCCCTGCACCTCCTCCAGGGCCTCCCAGGGCTGAGAGCTTCTCCAGGGCATGGTGCCTGCTGGTGCCCCCCTTTGCCAGCTCTGGCTCCCTGAGGTTTTACCTGCCTGGGCACCCAGTGATCTGAGCAGAGAGCCAAGACCAGTCTTTCAGGACAAGCAGAACTCCAGGTGACCTGGACTTCCCTGAGGGCTGCAGTCTCCCTGCCTCCCCTGGTGACTCTGGGTCAAGCTCCCACCTGCAGGGACAGGGCCACTGTGTGCCCCGGAGGCCCTGAAGTGCCTTGGACACACGAGGGCCGCAGGTGGTTGGCTTCCAATCAGTTATCGGCACACACAAGGTGGGCCGTGCGGAGGGTCTTCATTCTGGAGCCCCTGGTGTTACAGACCTAACCTTGGAAGCCGAAACCAGCTTTGTAACCAAAAATGGCATCGCCCATGAATTCCCATCTCTTGTCCCCTACCACTGTTCCAAAAAGTCAAATAAGGAGAGAGAGGAGGAAGGGTAGAAGGAGGGAAGAAGAAAGAAAGGAAAGAAAGGCAAGGAAGAAAGATGAAAAAAGAAAGGGAAGAAGGAAGAAAGAAAAGTGGCAGGGCATCTCCCTCTTTGGCAATGAGGGGACAGGACTGGTGCTGGGGAGTGGACAGTCCTCTCTGAGGTCCCTGGCACCTGTTCTGGGAGCCCAGTTATATCAGCAGGGCTGAGAAGGTCACTTCTCCTGGAAGCCCATGTTCTCTCCAGCTGGCCATTCTGTCCCTGTCAGCTGTCCCCTGTGCCCTGGGGGTGGACCAGCCATGCACACCTTGTCTCCTGAGGAGCGTCCACCTCACTGTCCCTAGAGACCCCTGCTCTGTGCTGTACCTCTGGGCAGTGAGCCCAGCAGAAACTGGACTTGCAGGGGAGGGCACATACCAGGAGGGAAACCGGGTGGGGTGGGGTGGGGGGAGGGAGGCAACGGGGACTGATGGGGTAATGGGGCGGGGCCAGCCCAGGAGGCCACAGTAGATAAAGGGTCGCAGGGCTGTGTAGGGCCTAGGCTGGCTGGGTCACCACCTCAAGAAGCAATATGAGGCTCCTCCTAGCAGCCCTGCTGTCCCTATCCCTTGGGGATCTTGGTGAGTGCTCCACATCCAGGGACGACCTGGCCAGCACCTCAGGTCCTGTGCCCAGCCAGGCAGGGACAGGTTCAGGGATGGGAAAGGACCAGGGCTCCCCAAAGCCACATGGGCTACAACTAAGTCGCCAGCACCTCCCCCAGGGCTCCCAGGAGACTTCTGCTTCCCTGGTATCCTCTGGGACCCCAGTACCCATCCTGGTCACCCTGGTTCAGAGAGAGTGAGCAATTTGTGGAAGACACACCTGAGTTTTGATCTTTGCTCCTGCAAGGACCGTGTGACAAATGACTCTGGCATGAGAGAGTCTCTTTGAGCCTCAGTTTCTTCATTTAAAAACCCCCGAGCCTGGAAGAGGAGGAGGGGGGCTGTCCCATGCCTGGGGCTGGACACAAATTAGTGACACCTCCTGCAGCAGCGTGCAAGGCTGGTGACTGCCCTTGTGTCCTGGGCTGTGAGAGGGAAAGGACTGATCTCCCCTTTGAGATGTGCCTGGGAATAGGAGAGACAAAACTGGGGAGACTGGAGAGCCGGGCCTGCGCTACGGCCCCATTCCAGGTCTGGAGTAACTTCTGGGCTTGGGATACTTCACAGGGATGCGCTTTCAGTGGTGGGAGCTGTGAGTAGGGCTTCCTGCAGGGCCAGAGGGGAGGGGAGCAGGAGTGCATCGCTGGGCCCATTCTCCGGACCCCTCTGACATCAGGCATCCATCCCCCCACTTCCACATCCTCTTCCCCCCTTGCTCCCTACTGCATGACACACAGCACAGGTCAGGGCCACCTGGATGGGGCAGGAAAGATCCACGGAGAGCTGACCTGTACCCCTACCACACTCAATCCTGTCCTGGGGTTCCTGCTCTGGACCCTGAGAGAGGGTGTTCCCAGGCTGGTAGGGGGGTCAGGCCAGCTGGATCCAAGTGGTGTGGAGGAGCCCTGCCGGGAATGCCCTTAGGTTTCCAGTAGGCTGGGTCATATGCCTGGGGTCTCCCCTGGGCCTGGCCTGCCTGCCCGGAGGATGGAGAAGAAAGGAGCTCTGTTCTCCGCTTGCCCCACCCCTGGCCTCCCCAGAGCTCCCCGAACCTATCTGCTCCCTGGCTGATTTCTGACACCAACTGCCCCATTCTGGTCCTCCACATCCCGTGAAGTCCCTGTGCAGGCTGTCCACTCCCTCTCTCTGTCTTTGTCCAATTGTTGGACACTCAGGGTATTTCCAGGTTTTTGCTCTTTTGCATAATGTCGCTATGATTACTCGTGGGAGTCTTTGCGAAGATGTACGTTTTTATTTCTAAAAGCTCACTTGCAGGGCCATCAGGGTCGCTCTGATTTAACATTTTGCAAAGCTGCCAGCTTGTTTTCCAAAGTGCCCGCCCCAGTTCACAGTCAGAGCAGAGCAGGAATCTTTCCATTTCCCTGCGTCCTCGCTGACACGTTATTGCCCACGTCAGCTGCGATCAGATATGTGATGTACACCAGCCATGTGACATCCTGGGCTTAAAAGTTGCATTTTCTCATTGATCAGTGATGTCAAACAGAGTTGCATGTGCTTCTTGGCCATCTGTCTCCTTTCTTGAAATTTGAGATCTTTTGCCCACATGCATTTAACTCTTTTCTGACACTATTAGGAAGCAGAGCCATGGTCTTCATTTCAGCCCTAGGCTTCTCGTGCCCCATGCAAAGATATGATTGGTTTTTGTCTCCCAATCTGGTGTCGCTGGTGTCCCGTGGCCCTGCTGTGCCAGCTCCTATGCTTGGCAGATGCAGTAGGGTTTTCTCCATTGGCTGTGGAGAGCACTTCGGCCCCCAGGGAGGGGTTTATTTGCTTTTCTCACCTTTTTGCTGTGTCCTGCGCCCCAGCATTGTGCAGGGGGGAACAGAGGAGGCTGGATGCCCCCGTGCTGTTCCTGAGCTCGTGCAGAAAGCTTTCCATCCTTTGCCATTCACTGGAGGGTTTGCTTAGATGGAGTCCACCTGGCAATCAGGTGAGCACCTGACCCAGCCCTCTCCCAATGGCAGATTCTAGCACCAGAGCAGGAGGACAAGGAGGGCTTGCTGCGCCCCCGACCCTCCATTCCTACAGCATCCGCAGTCTGGTATGTTTCCTACTCCTTGGAACCCTTGCAAGGTGCTTGGGCACCCACAGAGAGGGACTCTTGGCTGGACTTGCAGTGGTCAGCTGCTCTAAGAGCCAAGCCGCCTTCCAGCCCCTCCCCATCTCCCAGGTTCAAATGGGCCAAGCAGGTGGAAGAGCACCCTAGGCTGATCTGAAGACCTGCCGAATGAATGGCCGTGTCACTGGAAGGAAAAGAGTCCTTAGTTTATCAAAACTCGAAAACCACCAGACAGGGCAGAGGCCCTGCTTGTTAGGGCCTGCTGGTTAGGGCAGGATCAACCAGTGTACAGAGGACACAGGGCAGCTGGGACCTCTGTGGAGGTGAGGTGGTCCCTCCAGGACAGTAGAGGGGGCCTGACCCTGCCCTCTTCCTCCCAGGACTGTGTCTGGCCATCCCCAAGGGGAACGTGCGCTGGTGTGCCATCTCCTCCGATGAGGCAAGGAAGTGCTACAACTTGCAGAAGAACATGAAGAGAGTCGGGGGCCCTCCCGTCTCTTGCATCAAGAAAGATTCCTACCGTGACTGTCTCCAGGCCATTTCGGTAAGACCTGGCAGTGGGTCAGGGGGACCAAGGTGCAAGGGGAGGTGTCAGGAAGAGTTCAGTTGGGGGGCTGTGCTTGGTCCCTCTGCTTCCTTCTGGGGCGCCAGTGAGCTGGGAGTTGCTCCTCATCGTAGGAAAACTGTTCTTTGAAAGAAAGAAACCAGCTAAGGCTGAGAGGCCACGTGTGTGTGTGTGTGTGTGTGTATGTGTGTGTGTGTGTGTGTGTGTGTGTGTTTGTGTAGCGAGTGGGACCTCACACCTTGCTATTAATGGCTGTCAGAAAAGAAGAAGCATAGGGTGGGGGTTTAGCTCAGTGGTATAAGGACCTGCTTGGCAAACTTGAGGCTGTGAGTTCGATCCCTGCACACACACAAAAACAAACAACAAACAACAACAAAAAAAGCATAAACAATCAAGCGAGATCTGATCTGAAACATGGTGAATGTTTGCATTTTTAAAAAATTATAATGAAAGGCGAATGACCACATCCCCTGGGGAGTCCTCTCCCTGTCTTTGAGCCCCCGTCCCCTATTTCCGAAGCCAAGCGGCCCTGCCAGTCCTCTTTTGTGTTGCTTCCTTCAGTTGCTGCCTTCCGTCTGGCTGCCTCGAGGTCCTGAATCAATCCACGGTGCTCAGCCCAGTCACTTGGACTCTGGGGAGGAGGATGCAAGGCTGAGTTTTTGTGAGCTGCCTTTCCACTGGATGGTGCTCTCTCGGTGGCAGCAGCACGGCCCTGTATTTTTGATCACACCTCATGCAGACACTCAGGAAGGGACTGCAGAGCCGCTTCAGAAAGGACACGAGAGCAGTTAATGTGACGGGGAGCATTTGGAGGAGCGTTCATAGCTTTGCGACTTCTCCTGCAACAATTTTAAAGATGCAAACATCCACCGTCTACTTTGATAGCCCACATTTGAAGTAGGTGGTGAAGGTCACGGGCACCCTGCAGGGTGAAAACTTAAGAATCCCTCCCTCTGCACCCTTGAAAACAGGCCCAGGGAACCACAGGCATCTTGTCCTGTCACCGGCACAGGGTGTGTGTGGCCCTAGGAAGATGTTTGTCCACGATACCGTCAGTACTGTGATGTGTGCGTGGTCCCTGATTCCTTTGGTGCATCAAGATGTGCTAATTTTTATATAAAATAATGTTTGCTCATTCACTTGGCAAATATCTTTTTGTACTTGGTGTTAAGTTGCTAACGAAACCTGCCGGGTTCTTAGAGTAGTCTTGTCTGACCAAGGCACTGCCCTCTCCCATCTGTGCAAAGCGCAGATGGCAGGTCCCGTTCTGCCCTATTCCGCCCGAATGCTGGTGGAGGAAACCCCAAAACTAGTTCCACTTGAAATTAGTACCCCTGCCATTCAGCAAAGAAAGTCGAGGCAGATTAGATGGTTAACAATAAAATTTGTATTATTGAAAAACTGGGCACAGGCTACCCAAAAACTATAGAGGGAATATAAATGTCAGCTTTTATTTTAAGATTATTATTATTTTGAGATGGGTCCTTTGCGTTTCCCCGTGCTGAGAGGTCTGATGTGTGCCTTCACATGTTTGCTTGAATTAAATTACAAAAGACACCTTAAAATACATTAAGAGAAATTTATAGCTAATAAAATCACCCAGACCCACGCTGAGGAAGCGCCAGTGAACAGCTACTGCTGAGCGCTGGTGAATGACTGCCATCCCCACCCTGTGAAGACCCAGTGCCAGGCGGTAGGAAAGGTGGACTCAGGTACGAGAAATGACAGGAATGGAGCCCTAGTGACATTTGCTGTCTTCAGTGGCCACACCTGGGCAGCTTGTTAGCACTGGGATTTTCCATAATGGTCACAGGTAGTGCCTGTCCTGCTGGCCACGCTGTGTGCAGCTGGTCCTAGCTACCCCACGGCACTGAGAATCCTCCAGAAGGCAGGGCTGTCGCAGTGCCCAGGCACAGATACAAACTCCTTCCCACTCTGGTCCTGCCCTTGGCCTCTCCCAAGGACACAGTCTTTGGGGGAAAAGATTTCAGCAAAGATTTCACAGGTGAAATCAGAGATCACCCAGGTGCCAAACCCTGGGGGACTTGCTGAGTAGCTTAGATGACATTCACGGGGTCCGGAGATAGTGGCTGGTGGACAGAATCCACAAAGGCTCTGCAGAAGGGAGGAAATTTAGCTCAGCAACATAAGCACCAGCCTGGCAAGTGCAAGGTCTTGAGTTCAATTCTTGGTACTAAAAAAAAGAAAAAGTAGCTGGGGATTTAGCTCAGTGGCACAAGCGCCTGTCCAGCAAGCGCAAGGTTGTGAGTTTGATCCCAGTACCAAAAAAAAAAAAAAAAAAAAAAAAAAAACGAAAGAAAGAAAAGAAAATGCCTGCAGTATTAGAGGCCCTAAGTGCCAGGAAAATGCTCTCTGACCGTGGGGCATGCAGGAGGCAAGCAGCAGAACAGTGGTGAAGGTGAAGGATGAGGCTTTGCCTTGGGGACACGGTAGGACGTCTGAGTAGCTGTGCTTCCTGCTCAGTGAGGACTTCAGCAAGCACAGAGCCAGGCCAGGGAGGGGCATCTAGGACAATGGCTTGAAACCCAAATGGCACTGCTGGTGTGTCCAGGGCCTGGCACCAGCTCAGGATTAAAGCCCTTGGCCTGTGCTTCCCCCTGCAACAGTGGACACTGTGGCCATCTGGTCCCTCAGAGCGCCTTCTGGCCATGGAGCCTCTTGGAAGCCCTGACCCCGGCTCACCTGGCTCAGGGGGTTTCCCGCATCTGACCTGACCCCTCCTCCTCCAGGAGAACAAGGCTGACGCCATCACCCTGGACGGTGGGCAGCTGTACGAGGCCGCACTGGACCCCTACAACCTGCGGCCTGTGGCGGCGGAAGTGTATGGCTCAGAAGCCAGTGAGTGCTTGGGAGATTCAGGGTGGGGTGGCCGTGGCCTGGGCTCCAGGGATCCCAGTGCATGAGGAAGCCTGGCAGGGGTGTGCACCATGATGCAGGGAGTGGAGGCGCTGGCCTGAGAGGGGAACGCCTGAGGCCCCCCTTACAGGGGCTGAAGCCAGCATAGGGTTCAGTGCTCCTCCCTCCAGCCGGGATGACTTCTAGGTCGCCCCGCCCCTTGCAGATCCCCGGACACACTACTACGCTGTGGCTGTGGCCAAGAGAAGCAGGAACTTTCGGCTGGACCAGCTGCAGGGCCTGCGGTCCTGCCACACTGGCATTAACAGGACCGCTGGGTGGCGGATCCCCACAGGGGTGCTCCGTCCGTTCTTGAACTGGAGGGGACCTCCTGAGCCCATTGAGGCAGGTAAGATGCCCGGAGATTCCTGGGAGAGCTCAACAGGGGCGTCTACTACCACTGTGGGCCCAGGCCACTTTGGGGACAGGAGGTGGCCATGTGGAGCATCTCCAAGGTAGGCAAGGCTGGCAGGGTTAGGGTTAGGCTTAGGGTTAGGGAGAGGTGTCTTGGCCCAGCTCAGCTAAGGTGCCCATCTCGGAGTTTCCAGCCTACGCCAGGGAGACACGGGTGATGTGTGGGGAAGGGGCTGTTTCCTCAGGGACACCCTGGGGGTGATGCTGCAGCCGGGGTGTCAGGGCTGGCTCCCACTCTGTGGTCCCGATCTGTTCCCCAGCTGTGGCCAAGTTCTTCTCAGCCAGCTGTGTTCCCGGCGTGGATGGAGTGCGGTTTCCCAGCCTGTGTCGCCAGTGTTCGGGGACAGGGACAAATAAATGTGCCTTCTCCACCCAGGAACCGTACTTCGGCTACTCCGGTGCCTTCAAGTGAGTGACACTGTCTGTGCCACCATGGGCCACAGGGCCTCAGCCCAGGAGGCCTCTGCTAGGGCCCAGAGGGCTCAGCTGCTGGCCGGGTCCAGGGGAAGCCAGGGTCCTGGGTTTTCCTGCTGACTCCACTGAGCACTGAGGGGCTGACGAGTCTGTTGGGTGACATGTCTTCTGGGGCTGGCTGGACAGGACAGCGCTGTGTCCAGCTGTTATCCCTACCTCTCCCTGGAGGGCAGGGGCAGCCCTGGCTGATGTGCCCCTCCACACTCACCTTGCCACCCCATTCCTGGGACCACTGAGCATTTGCAGAGGGGCGCTGCAGGGCATGCTGGTGACCTACACCCCAGAAAGAGCCCACAGCCAGGGAAGCCAAGTCTTTCCCTTCCAGCGTAGCAGCTCCAAAGCTCTCTTACATAGAACAGAAAACGACATCTCGTCTGCCCCAGAGCCATGGTCAGGGTCCCAGCAGCGCCTCAGCCTCACCTGGAGGGACCCCAGATCTCCACTTCCTTGGGAGGCGACCACAGAGCCCAGGACACTGACCTCTGGGGCCTTCTGATTTCACAGGTGTCTGAGAGATGGCGCTGGAGACGTGGCTTTCATCAAGGCGAGCACAGTGTTTGGTAAGGCGGGGCTGGTGCCTCGGACCCCCACTTTCTGTTTCCTCGTGTAACTCTGGCCGTGCTGCTCACTACAGCACATGGTGTGGATGGATCTCGGGTGTCCTCTCCCTCGCCCACTGACCCCTGCACAGATGCCGGAGCCCAGGGGCCTGAGCTGGGCCCTCCAGGCCTGTGTAGTCCTGAGACACTGAGCAGGTGCTCTGTGGCTCTGTGATCTACGGCCACACATTGTCTGAGTGTCAGAAACCACACTGTTCCCAAGGGTTTCCTTTTGGTATTGGTTTTAAGAACTGGTCCTTGTGCTTGTGTGCACGCGTAGGTGAATAGTGGGGTAGGTGAATAGTGGGGGACATCGGACCACCCCTGCCACAGACTGCAGAGTTCCCTCTTCTCCTCTCTTTCTACACAGCCATTGTGTGTCCTCTTCCTGTCCCCCGATGAGGCACAACCGCTAGGTACAGACAGGCTGCTGATTCCCTAGGGGCCCCACATAGGTCACTTGGGTCCCCAGGAGGCTCATGGTGCTCTCAGGATCTGAGTTCTGATCTGTTCTCCAGTGATCTCATTTCTTGTTTTTTTAGTTGTTATTTGTCTTTTTGAGACAGGGTCTCGCCATGCAGTTCAGGCTGGCCTTGAGCTCACTTTGTAGCCCAGGCTGGGCTTGAGCTTGCAACAATCCTCCTGCCTCAGCCTCCCAAGTGCTGGGATTTCAGGCGTGAGCCACCACACCTGGCTAGTGTTCTCATTTCTGCACAATTTCGAGTTATCCTGACATTCATTTTGTTTGTCACGTGACTGCTCTAACATGGTCTCCTTGTTGGTTTAATTTGCACTGCCATGACACGTGAGTGGATTCTCTCATTATATTTGCTGCAGCTCAGCCTCCTCGTTCTTATTTGATAAACTTTGATGAGTTTCTTCAGGGTTTCAATTCAAGGGCAGAGCTCTCTACCTAGACATCAAACCACTGTAGGACTTGGATTTTAGGGTGATCTGTCAATAGAATGGAAGTCTTGAAACCAATAAGCTAAAGCCCGTCAGTTTTACCCTGCTCACTTGTGGTTTTGTGGTCTTTTGAAGGTGTTCATTTTACACCCAGATCGTGAAGGTTTTGGTTAACGAGATGAATGATTCCCACTTCCTCATGGTTGCCTACGTGAATAACCTGGGAGTGGGTGTGGATTTGGTTTAGCATTTTCCCCCAGACTAGGCGATTTTCCCTCCAGGAAAACAGCACAAACTCCACTCTTGTGCTCCCCAAGTCTGTGCGTATCCACGCGACCATCTCCCCAGTAGCTTTGCTTTGCTTCTGTGTTCGTGTTTTTCTGTTTTATCTGGCATGTGGAAGCTCTTCTAATAGAGGGAGGGACCTCCTCTCCTGACTTTGCTATTTATTTTCAGGTTTTCTAAGCTAAAAATTGAGAAAGATTTTGCTGGGTTTCTAAAAAAATCAAACGTTAATTATAATTTTACAGATTTTAAATCAATCTGTGGATTGATGGGTTGTCTAAACCATGACAATCCTAAATCTTCCCATTTGATCAAACTTCTTTTGATAGAGTGGGACATTCTTCTCATTATGGGTATCATGCATTTTTTGGTGAGCCTATAAAATAGTTTAATTGTTTTAGCTGCCACTGTAATACCTTACGGTCTGTATTATTTGTTTGGTATTACTGGGAATGCTGCTTTTTTGCTGGTTGATCTTACAACATGGGTCTTACCTGTTTCCTGTGGCTTCACGGCTTTTCTAGCTAGATAATTCTACCATCTTTGATGAGGACTTTTCTTTTCTTTTTTTTATAAATTGTGTGATTCAGATACACACAATTGCATTAGCACTGGGATGGGAAGCATCCTTGCTTTGGCAAAATTTCCCTCTTCCTTCTTCCAAGGATTTATATACAGTACAGATGAACACTTCCAAAATATGGCCAAATTCATCCACGGAAACCCTTTCTGTTCTGTGCTGCACCAGGTGTGGAAAGCAACTCAAGGGCATTTTCTGCCTTAAATCTTTTCCTCAGTTTTTACTTTTCCAGGATGTGCGGGTGAGGTAGCTCTGTGTGTGGACACTGTCCAGCAGGGCTGCAGGATGCAATCGGTCATAGGGTCACAGCTCTGCCGGCCCCTGGGTCCTTCTGGGACTCTCTTTCCTTCTCTGGTATTCTAGAGTCTTTTGATGCCTTTGTTTTCAGGATTTTCTCCCTCCCTCCTTCCCTTCCTTCCATCCTTTCTTCCTTCCTGCAGGAGGTGGAACCCAGGGTCCCACGAGGCCAGGCTGTAGCACTGAGCCACACCCTCAGCCCGATTCATCCCATGTGTGAGCTTCCTCACTGCTGTAACAGAACACTTGACACCCTCTGTAGGAGAGCTATAATTTGGCTTACAGAGGGTTCACTCTGAACCCTGGTGACGGTCACTGGCTCCAAGGCAGACATGGCTCGGTGGAAGGGCCTGGGAGGAGGACCGCTGCTCACCTCACAGTAACCAGGAAGCTGAGAGCGAAGGGGGAGCCAGGGAGGGAGATGTACTCTTCCCGGTCACACCCTAGAGACCGGCTTGTAACGGGCCCTGCCTCCTTACGGTGCGTTCCACCATGGATGCACACAGGGGTGACATCACTGATGAATACAGCACTATGATCCAGCCACCTCTGGCAGCTCTGCCTCCCAGCACAGGGGACTCTGGGAGCCACTGTGGATCTGAGCCCTCATGCTGTCTCAAGTCTGTCCCGTCCGTGGGGCAGGCAGTGTGTTTCCTCCAACCTGAATTCTATGGGGAGCAGCGGGGCTCTGGCTGGTGCTTCCTGCCTTGGCTCACTGGGGCCCTCTTCCTCTCACAGAGGACCTGCCAGACAAGGCCCAGCGGGAGGAGTACAAGCTGCTTTGCCCAGACAACACCTGGAGGCCGGTGGACGAGTACAAGCAGTGCCACCTGGCCCGTGTCCCTTCTCATGCCATTGTGGCCCGCAGTGTGAATGGCAGGGAGGACTTGATCTGGGAGTTTCTCCGCCAAGCACAGGTAGCCGCATGTGGGGTACTCCCCACCTGCTTGGAACTGGGGGAGGGGTGGAGACTGTGAGACTCCAGAAGGCCCTCCTGGCTCGGGCCACTCCAGCTGTGTGGCAGAAAGGCCGGACCCCTGTAGCCTTGCTGACCCCGGAGGCTCACGGCTGCAGTGGAGGCGGGGGTGGGGGCATGGCATTCCCCCAGGATACTAAGGCACTTCCCAGAGGCTGGGGCACCTAGCTCGTGCCCCTGGGATGGTGGGAGTCCAGCCCTGGAGGCTTCCGGCCCAGGTCTGGGTCCTCAGAATTGTTCGGAGATTTCAGATGCTGGTTTTCTGACCTGGGGTTTGGTGTTCTCCCTACCAGCTTCACAACTTCCCTGCAGACTTCACAACTCCATTTTCCTCTCCTTAGGAAAAGTTCGGCAAGGGCAAGTCCTCGGGGTTCCAGCTCTTCGGCTCGCCCCGGGGGAAGAGGGACCTGCTGTTCAAGGACTCTGCATTGGGCTTCGTGAGGGTCCCCAAGAGGGTAGATGCGGGGCTGTACCTGGGCTTCGGCTACCTCTCCTCCATCCGGAACATGCAGGAAAGTAAGTGTGCGCTCCGGGTAGGGTGACCCTGCCCGCCATGGTCACTGTGGTCTCCTCCATCCTCATCAGCAGAGGCAGGGCCACCAGGAGAGTGTCCAAAACCCCCAGCCCCTGGATTCATGCTGCCCAGTGCCCCTGGGTGGGACTGGCCTCCTGTTAAGTGAGACATGGGATCAGGGTGGACTCCGGGGCTGGAGAGGCAGCTCCTGACCTTGGCCAGGGACCGAGGCCACAGGAGCCTGGCTCAGCCTGAGGCTTCCTGGCTAGGGGGTGGGGTGGGTTATGGAGCAGCCAGGGTGACCGGAGGCCACTGTCGCCCATGGTGGTGACTGCAAGCCTGGGGAGGTCAGGGCTGGATTCAAGGTCCCCTCACCCACCAGTCTGTAAGGATGCTGGGCTTTGAGCCCTTGGGGATGGGGGGATGGGTTAGAAGCTGTGGAAAGGAGGAGGAGGAGAAACTGAGGCAGGCTCTTGGGGCAGAGCAGGGTGGAGAGCTGAGAAGTGAACAGAGGAGGGAGGAGGGAGGGAGGAGGGGGGGAGGAGGGGGCGATGCCCACCACTGACCCTCTCTGCAGCGGAGGCCGATGTGGCTGCCCGTTACTCACGTGTCGTGTGGTGCGCGATTGGCCCCGAGGAGAAGCGCAAGTGTGACCGCTGGAGCGGCGTCAGTGGCGGCAAAGTGACCTGCGTTGCGGCGCGCACCACGGAGGACTGCATCACGCTCACCATGGTGGGTGCCGGCGCGTGGGGTGGGGGCGGGGCTCCCTGGGAACGGGGTGGACATCGGCCCAGGGCAGTCTGCATGTTGTCCAGGGGGCACAGTTAGGTGGGAAAAGTGGCTTATTGTGGAGGTTTCACTCCTTGTACCAGAAGAACTCATCAGGATTATGTATATAATCTGGGCCATAGAAACATACACACTCTACACAGGCACTCACACTAACCAAAAACCCAGTTTAATACCGAGAAAGCTATGATTAAAGTCTCTTTTCTTTCTTTCTTTCTTTCTTTCTTTCTTTCTTTCTTTCTTTCTTTCTTTCTCAGGATTGGGAATCGAACTCAGGGCCTTTGCACCGACTTCCATCCCCAGCCATTTCTAAATTTTGATTTTAACTCATGTTTAGGGTTAGTGTTAACTGTCCATGCTGGGCTCAGACTATCCCAGCCTGGAGGCGTGCTGGGGTCACAGGTGTGCCGTTTGGTGATTTTGCACCCCAGGATTCCTTGTACACGTACTGCTGTGTGCTTATGGTCCTGGGATTGCATCCTTTAGTGTAGTTCTGAGTTTTTGTCTCTAGACAGCAAGCCTGTCATGTGTGTTTCCCATGAGAACACATGTTCGGCAGAAACGTTTTCCCAGCAGTGACTTCAGAACATCTTTTATTTATTTATTTTGTATGGGGATTGGACTCAGGACCTTGCGTTTTCTAGGCAGGTGCTTATGCCGCTGAGCCATGTCCCCAGCCCAGAACGTCCCTGTGGAGGGTTCTGGTTAGTTGTGGTCACCCTGCCCCTTTACATCGGCTTCTGTCACTGCGATGGGCTCCTGAGGTGGAGACCCTGAAGCCATTTCTCAGTGGCTGTAGACAGAGAGCTCTGCCATCCTGGTGCCTGATGGGTGTTGATGCGGGTGTAGCTGGGTCCCCACCTCGGTGTCCAGAGTTCCCAGTGTGGAAAGGGATTCACTCAGAGGACAGAGGGTGAGAGCCCTGGGGGAGCTGCCTGGTTGTTCCAACTGAGCTGGCAGTGCCCAGGCAAGCAGGCTGGCAGTGGGACAGTGGGCACAAGTCATTTATTCCCTCTAAGTGTTCAGGGGGAGAAGCCGGCCCTGGGGCTGTGCACAGCTGCTGAATCAGCTCTGTCTCTGCAGAAAGGTGAGGCGGATGCCATGAGCCTGGATGGAGGGTTCATCTACAGCGCTGGCAGGTGCGGCCTGGTGCCCGTCCTGGCGGAGAACCAGAGTGAGTGGAGCTGGAGTCTCTCTGGGTGTGGGGAGGAGTGGGCACTCACCGGCCCGGGGGTAGGGGGAGGAAGGACGTGTGGACACCTTTGGGTGGGACTGTGGGCGGGGAAGGCACAAAAGGGCTCTTCTGCCTGAGCAGCCCAGTGTGCTGGCATCCAAGGATTGGCTCATGTCTCCTCCTTCGCCCTCGTGGGTCTGTGTCTGTCTCTGTCTCTCCCTCCTGACAGTCACAGACTTGCTTTTTATGTTTTGCTTTAAGCTTTTAAAGATTTTAATCGCCCGGAAGAGGTCGCTCAGGGTTATCCTCCAACGCTTCCCTCCAAGACCTAACTTTTAGGCTCTTTGGAGCAGGGCAGATTCTTCATGAGGCAAGGACATTCTCTGTGTTCCTCGAGTCTTCCCTTACTCAGTCTCAGCTGCCCCAGCCCGAGCGCGATCGGGGACAGGGATGTCCCTTTCTTGCATCCGTATCGGAAACCAAGGCAGCAGATGGTAGCTGCTTCCGGTCTGTCCAGTAGACATCTGATTTCCTCTCCTAATTGAAAAATATTAATAGGTGTGGCTGTGCACATGAGTAAGAGCATGTGAGCAGCCGGCTCAGTGCCCTGCACTCCAGGGCCCCGATGGGGACGCAGCAGGCCTCAGAAGCACCTGCTGTCTTGCTGTCCCCAGCCAAGGCTGTGACGCTCTTGACTTCCAGCCGCACGCACTGGTTCTGCCTGTGCTTTTGCTTAGTGCAGGAGTCGTGCAGCACACGGCGCCCCTGGTTAGTCCTGCTGCCATGCAGGATTCTGTGTGTGACTCTACCGTAATTATCCCCCCAGGTCCCTGCGGACGGGGATTGGCCAGTGGGTGGTGATTGTGGCCAGGGCTTGTCTTGCTCCCTGTCGTGATGGAGATGTGTGTTGGCTTCTGCCTCAGGATCTGCGGCGGAAGGTTGGGTTGGTCTGTATCTGACCCTGCATCCTGGGGCTCTCCGGGCTGCGGCTGCTCGGTGAATTGGTGTCCAGCGATGCTTTGCTTGTCTTGGTTCTTTCAGGGTCCCAGGAGAAACCAGGCTCTGACTGCGTGAACAGACCGCCGGAAGGTGAGGTGGAACGAAGTGCATTCAGGGCCAGGAATAAGTTCTTTTGCCAGAGGACAAGGTGGTGGCGGGAATTAAAAATAAAGCAAGCTGCTAGAAAGAGACCTGGCCCTGGAAACCAGAAAGGCAGTCACCGACCAGCCCAGCCCACACCTGCCCTTGACATAGAGCAGCTGCTTGCACTAGGGGTCTGCTTAGCAATGGCCAGAGTCACCAGAGGAACTGTCCCCTGGTGATGCCTGTTGACATGGCCTGGCTGATGAACAGTGCCCTGGAATCTGCTGCTAGGCCACCCGGGGGCTAAGGTCACTCTGTCTTCTGTGTGCCAGGATACCTCGCTGTGGCAGCGGTTCGGACCTCAGACACCAGCCTCACCTGGAACTCTCTGAGAGGCAGGAAGTCCTGCCACACAGGCGTGGACAGGACCGCAGGCTGGGTCATCCCCATGGGCCTGATCTTGAACCAGACCCGCTCCTGCAGATTCGGTACGGGGTCCTGCGGGCGGGTGGGGATGGGGGTTTGCAATGTCTTTGGGCAGAAGAAAATCCTGTCCAAATATGCCCCACAGGCAAGACAAAGTAGAAGGCTTTCTGCTGGACAGTTTCCAGGTCCTGTCCACCCAATGGAGATAAAGGCAGGGTTCTCAAGTCAGGTCTGGTGGTGCATCTCTGTGATCGCAGCTGCTCAGGAGGCTGAAACAGGATTGTAAATTCAAAGCCAGCCCAAGAAACTGAGCAAGTATCTGTCTCAAAACAAAAAGGGCTGGAGATGTGGATCAGTGCCAAAAGGATTGCCTAGCATGTGTGGACCCCTGGGTTCAATGCCCAGGGACACACACACACACACACACACACACACAGGCACACACACACCCATCCATTAGAATATGGGTCTACCCCTCTGCCCCAAAAGAATGTGTTCCTGTACTGGACAAACCCAGTCCTTTTACCTCTTGGAGCTCCAGAACCAAATTCATCACAGACCCTGCCCCATGGGATAGAACCAACTGCTTACCCACCTGCCCTCCGCTGGCCTCTGTCCCTGCATGCCCCACTCACCACGGCTAGTGCTGGCCATGCCTGCCTGCAGAGGCCTGGTGCAGTCTCACTGGGGCTGTGCTCTTGGGAGGGTGTCTCCTGGAGTGGGGCTCCGGCTGCAGTGTCACCGAGGCTTTGGTCCTGGCTGGGGCATCTGTCACTCCCCAGTACGGCCGGCCATGTGGTTGCTGCTCTTGTCACCCTGGTGGTGACTCTGAGCTGTCCTCAGGGGCTGCAGGGGTCTGACAAAGGGTGACTCGTGCCCAGGGCTCTCTTGTCCCCTTTGCCTCCTGCTCCCCTGGGTTGAACAGCACGAGGGCAGTGTTCAGATGAGGGTCAGCAGCAAGGCACAGAGCCACCCTCACCCCTCCAAAGAGTGGAGCCTGGGTGTAGACGGAGGCATCCTCCTCCCTCAGGGAAGGGGAGCCAGAGCCGGCTGGACAACTGTGCCATGTCTGGGAGGTGTCATTCCACACCAAGTCACTGCATGCCCCACGTTAGAGCTGGAGGTGCAGCCTGCCTCTGCCTCCCTGGAGACGGGGAAGGGGTCCCCGTGTGCAGTCTGCCTGGTGCACTGCTGACTTCTGGTGGGCTTGGTCCGTGGCAGCCGGTCCTCCTCTGTGACAGCCTGCGCTGTCTGACCTGGGCCCCAGTGACCCAGCCGCGGCATCGGGGGAGAGAACTAAGGTAGCCATGCTGACTGCCTGCTTCCCCCGCAGATGAATTCTTCAGTCAGAGCTGTGCCCCGGGCGCCAACCCCACGTCCCGCCTGTGTGCTCTGTGCGTGGGCAATGACAAGGGGGAGAAGAAGTGTGTGCCCAACAGCCAGGAGCGCTACTTCGGCTACACGGGCGCCTTCCGGTGAGTCTTGGGCCTCCACAGGTTGGGTCTCAGATGCCAGGAGTGTCCTGGCACAGCCGGGTCAGGGCCAGCACTGAGGGCTCCCCTGCCTTATCCAAATGTTTTCATCCCAGCCTCTCAGGAGGCTGAGACAGGAGGATTGCCAGTTGGAGGTCAGCCTGGATAACTTAGACTATGTCTCAAAATTTTTAAAAAATGTTTTTTTTTTAAAAAAAGGCCTGGGGATGTAGCTATATGATAGAGTGACCCTGGGTTTGATCCCAGTACTTCCAACACAAAAAAGTTTGCAGAATTCATAAATGATAGCTGAGGCACCATTCACAGCTCCTAGCCACAGCCTGCGTGTGTAATTTCCTGCATCTGGGCGGGGCATTGTCCGGGACTTCCCCGGGGCTCTCTCCCCATTCGCCACCAGGTGGCGCCATGGGGCTGAGGACCGCGGTGCACGGTCCAGCTGGTGCCTTGGAACTTTTCCAAGACTAGTTCTTGCTCGATTTTGAGCGAGTCATAAAAATCAAACAGACAAAAATGTGCTTAGTTTCGTGTACTAAAATATCTGAGGCCTAGATCCAGACACCAGGCCGATGAGATCTCCAAGGCATCGTGTGAGCCCCATCCCACTCCCGACATCAGGGGCATCACCTCCCGGAGACTCTGCACAGCGGCGTTTCGGTTTACACCAGAAAACTCCGCTTCGTCTTTGTTCCAGTGCTATCTGGAATCTGGACCGGATGAGTTCATTACAATAACTGAAAGTTGAACTAGGGGTCTTCCTCATCCTTTGATTTCTCACCAGTCATGGTAGGGCTGGATCTTGGTTCCTGACTTTCTGCTGTTTCCTGCTGGCCTCGGACAGCGGAGAGCAAAGGCGCCTCTGCTTTGCCCACAGCCGCTGGGCTCACCAGACACTGGACACGTCCGTCATTACGTTCTTACAGCCTCTTACCAACACGTGGCTTGGTAAGAGTAGGTTTATTGTGCATATTTTTTGTTTACTCTGGAGATGACAGATGTCTTTTTAAATTTGCTTCATTTTGTTTTTCTCTTTCTTTTCTTTTTTTGGTTTTTTTGAGACAGGGTCTCACTATGCAATTCTGGCTGGCCTTGAGCTGACTTTATAACCCAGGCTGGCCTTGAACTTACAAGATCCTCCTGCCTCAGCCTCCTCAGTGCTAGAGTTACAGGCATGTGCCACCAAGCCTGGCAAATTTGCTTCATTTTCTGTGCTTTTTAAAATTCACACATTCACAGCTTCCTGCTGCCGGTAGCTTGCGGCTCCCGACCATGCAGACTGCGTAGGCACAGGGGGCGCTGTCTGGTTTCTTCTTTTCCTGAAGTGCCGCTCCTGGGACCTCCGTCCTTCAGCGGCAGCCAGGGTTTGGAGCTGCCGGGCCACCTGCGTGTCTGTAGTCCTGGGACGCCCCGTGGCCGTCTTTTGGGCTTCCCATCTCTTACTTCACATCAGGCAGCCCGTTCCTGGATTTTATTTCTTTAGCTTTCTTGGGTTTATTGCAAGTGCACAGCTCTCTGCAGCTCTCAAGGGAGGGCAGGGGGTGCTGCTTTGTTCTGAAATATGTCTTTGCGCGTCTTCAAACCTCCTTTCCAGTGATTCATAGCTGGGGTGAACGACGAAGTCTAAGCTAGGAATTTTGACAAGATTTTTTTATCTGGAAAAGGCAGTTTGGGGCTGTTCTGACCAAACTCTGGCACCGCAGACAGGCATAAACCCTCCCAAGCCTTGCCCCCCACACACTCTGTACACAGGCGTCCCTAGGAGCTCGGGGTAAGTGGTAAAGTGGTAAGGGGTCATTTAGGGTAAAACCCAGAGGACGAGCACTTGGTCCTGAGATGTGTCCTTGTTCCAACAACCTGGTCCCTAAAAGCTGTGGCCAGAGTGGCTTCTGTGTCCACCCCTGGTGGCTGTGGGGTTTGCCTGAATTTGTGGGAAATGGCAAGGAACACGTCTGCTGGGAAAGGGGACCATAACCAGTCCTGGAATAGATTTGGGACTCAACCTCGTGTCCCCTAGGAGCGGGCAGGAGCCCCCAACTCGTAAATATTTTTTAAAGTAGTGTCAAACTAGTGACTTCTCTAGAACCCGCCTCGGGCACTGTCAGTGATAGTGGACAGTACAGCTGCAAGACAATAACCAGCGAGGCTGGCAACTGCAGAAGTCCAGCAGACAGCAGCAGATGAGTATTTTACTGGTGAACAATTAGGTCTTCTACAGAGGGAAAAGCGGCAGTTGAAATTAACTGCAGCTGACCAGTGTAACCAACGAGGAGGGGCATTAGGAAATGAGCCAGAACACAGCACGGAAAGGCCAAGACAGAAATACGGTAAAATCAAAATGATGTAACCCATTGTCTCGTATTTCCTAGAATTTCTTTTGAGAAAAATGTTACCATCTTGCTTGATGATTCTTTTACATGGTATTTTCTTTGTCTTGAAAAGTTTTTGAGCTTTGTAACAATGTTTTTTTAAAAACCTCTGGTGTTCTGAAACTTCACAATGATACTTAGTGAGACTGCTTCCAATTTATTGGATGGGGCGTGTGATGAGCGTTTTCAGCTGAGCACAAGTGATTTAGTCCCGGGAAACTTTATTACTTCTGTGACAGTTTCCATCTTTCTCTTCCTCTAATTTCTCCTCAAATTTTAATTTTTAAATTGTGTATTCTCTTGGATCATCACCTGGCTTCTTCATTTGCTTTTTATTGTTTGTTCTTTATATTCTAATTTCTGGCTTATTTTCTCAGTCTAATCTTTTTATCACCTTAAAGAATTCTAAAGATTTAAAAACATTTTTCTAATAACTCTTGTATCTTGACTATTCTCTTTTAGCGCTTCCTGTTCTTGTTTTGTGAATGCTGTATCTTCTTTTTTATTTTTAATAATATTAATTATAGCTTTTTTCTTAGCTCTCTTCTCTCCCTTATCTTGTCTTTGTGTCCTGAATATAGTGATTTGATCTCTACTTTGTATGGTCTTTCTTCAAATGTCAGCTGGTCTCTGGCTCTTTGTCCATATTCAAGAGTAGGACATTAGATTAGTTTAAAATGAAAACGTGGAGACCCTGGGCTGACCATTGGTTTGATACCAGTTGCCAGGTCTTGGTAGTACTGGGCCTCAGTGAGGGCCGCTTTATGTCATTTTATTGTGAACCCCAAAAGTTTAGCATCTATGGACTTTTTCCTTGGGTGATCAGAAAAGACTCACTCTCTGTTCCCTGGGAAGGCAAGTCCTGGCAGGCCGCTTGTGGGGACCAAGGGTGGGCACACAGATGCATTCAATCTTCCATTTAAAACCGCAGATTCCTGGAAATATTGTCATCTTTTGTATGTTTGCTTCCATGTTTCAGTTTTTGGAATGTATGTGTGAATATCCGTGAAAGCTCTAATAGCTTCTTTTCTCTTGTGATGTGTTTGTTTTCCAAAACATTTTAGGTGCCTGGCAGAGAGGGCTGGGGAGGTGGCCTTCTTGAAAGACTCCACTGTCTTGCAGAACACAGACGGTAGGTGAAACGCGTCCCCAGCGCTTTGGTCTCCAGGTTTACATCTGGAAGGGTCCTAACAGTTTCTGACTTTTGAATGAAGCCAGGAGTTTAACCTTGGGAGGTGGCATGATAACATAATGTCTGTGGGTGCCACAGTGGTTTATGAAGCTGAATTCACACACACACACACACACACACACACACACACACACACACCCTGGCTTTGTGCGGTCACGTGCAGAAATCCATCTTGTGCTTACATCAGATCACATGTGCTGGGAGGAAGCTAAGAGTAGATGATACCGGAAATCCAAACAATGCAAACAAAATTTCCCTTTTGAAAGAAGGAAGTTGAGGCTCCCTTCAGCCCAAGTGCAGACTCCTACTCCGCTGGTGTCCTCGCGGCTTTGGGGGAGGGCGAGGACTTCAGGGTGTGGAGAGATCTCAGCCTCACACAGAGGAACCAAGAGGAGGCTGCAGGGATGCAGGGGGAGGGACCAGGGCCCCTAATCAGGGACCCGGCCTGGCGCACAGTCGTGTCTGCCTGCACTTGGAATTGACAGCAGCCAGCCACGGGTCTCTAGGGATTGGATGGTGTCCAGTTGAATTTTCAGTTCCTCTGCTACTTACAAGGGTGTTTGATCAGAATTGACCAGGCACATGTGCTACCTGTGGAAGTTCCTGTCCTTTCTGTGGTTACAGTAAGAGCAAGGAAAGGAGAGGAGAGAGCAAGTTCTCCTTGAACATAAGCCAGCCACAGGCTGTAACACCTGATTCAAAAGTCTGAAATTGGAGCTGGGTGTGGTGGCACACACCTGCAATCTTGGCACTCAGGAGGCTGAGGCAGGAGGATCCTTGAAGTTTGAGATGAGCCTGGGCTACAAAGTGAGCTCAAGGCCAGCCTGATTTGCACAATGAGACCCTATCTCTAAAAGACAAAACCAAAACAAAACATACCCCAGAAAATCTGGAATTGGAAAATTTCCAGAATGACAAAATGCCACAGAAAACCTCATTCCTGGCCCCCAAGATGAGTCAGTCACATGTCACTAGAAATATCACCCCAAATTCACTGCAGGTTCCTTGCATACACTGCGCAGAAAAGACTAAGTGAATCTATAATGAAGGTACAAATATTCTGAAATATGGGAAAAAATCCAAAATCCAAAGCACTTCTGGTTCCAGCGTTTTGGGTAAAGCATACTCAACTTGTTTTCTTTTTCTAGAACTCACTAGAAATATGGCATAGATGAATAGTTTTTTTTTTAAAGACTCAAAGCTTTGCTGTATGTGGTGGTGCACACCTGTAATCTCAGCACTCAAGAGACTGAGGCAGGAGGTGCCTACTAAATTTGAGGCCGATTTGGGCCTCACAGAGTTCAGGACCAGCCTGAACTACATAGCAAGACGGTATCTCAAAAAATAAAGAATTTGAAAAGCTTTATTGAGATACAATTTGCATACTATAGAACCCACCCATCCCAGCTATTTGAGGTGTAAAACTTAATGGTCTCCAGGAAACTTGGAGTTGTGCATCCACTAACAGATCCCCCCAGAACACTTGAGTACCCCAGAAAGAGCTTGGGCAGCAGTCACCCCAACCCATGCCACTCCTGGAGCTCTGGGACCCTCTGCGTGCTCTCTCCGAGGGTTAGCCTGGTCATGCAGATGGGACCAGAATTGTCGGTCTTTTGTGACCGGCTTCTTCTCATAGTGATGTGCTTCTGAGGTATGTCCTTACATGACTGTCACCCTCTTTTCTTGCTAAATGACAAGCGCACCCTGAAAAGTCCCCTTGGCCATGCAGGGCGGCTGGGGCTGATGCCTCCTGTTTGTCCCCCCAGGGAAGAACACTGAGTCCTGGGCCCAGAACTTGAAACTGGAGGACTTCCAGCTGCTGTGCCTCGATGGCACCCGGAAGCCTGTGACGGAGGCCCGGAGCTGCCACCTGGCCATGGCCCCGAACCACGCCGTGGTGTCTCGGAAAGATAAGGCCAAACTCCTGGAAGAGGTGCTGCTCAACCAGCAGGTACAGACCCCTGGGCCCTGGCTCTTTCCCGACTGCAGGGGCTCCTTCGGGGGCATCTAGCTGGTGCTGGTGGGGTCAGTGTCTGCTGCCCGCTGTGGGGGCCCCCATGGCCTCTGGACTCACATGACTTCTGTGCTCCTGCACCCCTGGTGGCCCAGAACCAGTGCGTCCCTCCTGTTGCTGTAGACAGAGGGGGTGCCCCCCCCCCCCGGCCCCCCCCCCCCCCCCGCAGGCTCCAGTAAGGACCAGTTTGTGTTTTGGATGCTTCCTGGCCCAGCAGAACCGGTTCTGGACAAAACTCCCTCACAAAGCAAAGCCCAGGATCAGCCTGTAGATATAGGGCTGTATCTTTGCGACTTGGAGGGAATCCTGAAGTCCCCTTAAAACCTGGGGTTCTGCACTGGCCCCTCAGTTGCTCTGTGATGACACTGCGTCCTCATTGTCACAGCGGCCAGGGTGTGGAGAAGGCTCTTTGCTCCAGGAGGCGGAGGGCCTCCCAGGACCTGCCTGGTCATCTTCCGGTTGGTGGGGGATGGGGGTTTCCTGTGCAGATCACCTCCCCCATGGCTGGAATGTTAGGCTACCCCCGGGATCTGTTCTGGGGGAGCAGTCCTCAAAAACCCTCAGGTGTCATGCAGCTGTCTGCAAGAGGTTCTGTGGGACAGGAAGGAAGGCAAGTGGGGGACAGGGATGTCTGGTGCTGCCTGGGGGCGCTCTGGGGAGACTCCGGACTGCAGTGTTCTCAGGGCTGGTCCAGGATGGAGGAAATCCCCATGCACCCATGCCGCCGTCCTCCTTGGCCACTCCTTGACCCTCTGCCATTTCACCCAGACTCGGTTTGGAAGAAACGGATCCAGGTGCCCAGGAGAGTTCTGCCTGTTTCAGTCTGAAACCAAAAACCTTCTGTTCAACGACAACACCGAGTGCCTGGCCAGACTGCATGGAAAAACGACCTACGAGGAGTACCTAGGGCGGGAGTACCTGGCGGCCATCACCAACCTGAAGCGCTGCTCCCCTTCCCGTGAGTGGACACAGGGTGGCGTTGCTGAGAAGCTAGGGCAGAGGGCATCTCAGGAGAGCCCAGTCTCAAAAACCTAGAGAAAGAAAGGCCTGGATCACCATTTAACCCTTTAAAATATTTAGGAGACTTCCCCGAGTGTCGAAAGGCTACTGGTGGCGGGTCTCACCTGTGAGCGTACACCACCCATGCCCCTCGGGCATGATAGTCACCCGGATCTCCACTCCTGTCCCTCCCTCAGGGAGGTGGAGGTGTTGGGGTCTGTCTCCAGGCTTGGGCATCGCTTCCCCCTGTTCGCAGCTCAGGGTCATCTGTCCCCAGGGGACATGTGACAATGTCCAGAAGCATCTTTGGTTATCATAATTTCGGAGATGCTGCAGGGGTCAGGGTAGGATGCTTCCTAAGGAATGCGGGGCCATCACCCCCTCTACCCTTGAAAAGAGCTATGATCAGGCTCCAGATGTCAAGGTTGCCGCGGTGATAGCCATATCTCAGGTCACTGGCACGCAGGTGGTGCCCACACAAAGAACCACAGCTGTGGGCTGATTCTTGGGCCTCTGGATTGCAAGGACTGTGCCCTGGAGCGCAGGTCTGTCTGTCCCTTGTCCCCAGCTCTCAGCCCGGGAGTCACCCTCACAGCAGGTGCTCAGCAACGCTCTGCAGAGAAGGATGTAGGCGGGCAGGCCTTGAATTGCTTGCATTCCAGAAGGCAGGACTGCAGAGGTGGACGCAGTGGGCAACAGCTGAACCTCTGAGGAACAGGGGCATGGGCAGTTCTGTTCCTCAGGCCCATGTAAGAGACCACCCTGGCCTGGACGGAACAGAGGCACCTGTGTTCTGGGGCCCTGCAGGCTAGGAGAGGGGGGAGTAGGGAGCATGTGGGCAGGGCAGCCCTGACTTCCAGTGTGGGGAGGGCAGCAAGGACGAGTTTAAGTGCACTCCTGGATTTACTAGGGTAAAACATGGATTTAAAAAAAGAATTAGTTTTTTACCTGGGTATGATGATGCACGCCTGTCATCCCAGCCCCCGGGAGGCTGAAACAGGAGGATAGCTGTGAGTTGAGGCCAGTCTGGGCTGCATAGTGAGTTCAAGGCCAGCCTGGACTACATAGTGAGACCCTGCTCAAACACAACACAAAACCAAAACAAAGCAATTCAGTCTCTGAATGTCTGCTGCATTGCGTCCACAGCACTCCTGGAGGCCTGCGATTTCCTCAGCCAGTGAACCTCAAGGAGATGCCCACTGTCCCCTGCTTTCCCCCACCCTGCAACCCTGCATGCTGAGCCCATGTCCTCCCCACCAAGATGGAGGTTTCCGGCCCCTCTGCTCTCACAGCTCCCTGCTGCTGTTTTAGGAAGAAATAAACTTTCTAACCAAAGTGAGAAATACTGTTGGCTTGCTCTCCCTGTTTGTGCCTTTTTCCTAGATTGTTGTGCTGAAATCTGGTCAGATGTGGCCTTGGGTCCTTTCCTCCTGGGGCTCGGGTCCAGCCCTTCATGTCCAGTGCTTCCTTTCTTCTTCGCCCTGGGCTGGATGCCCAGTGTCCTGGTGTTGGGGACATTTTCTCCACAGGCATCTGGTTTGCTCCAGTGATTGTCTGGGGGTGTATGTACCAGTGTGTGTGCCCACATCTGTGCCTGTGGGTATGTGTGAGCTCCAGATCATGCACACACATGTGTGGTGTGACAAGCAGCTCCTCCACATGTGTGCACATGTAGGTGTCTGCATACGTGTGTGTTCCCAAGGTGGGCAGGAGTAGTGGGTAGAAGAGCCAAAGGCTCAGTGCAGGAAGCTGATAAGGAGAGCCAGATTACTTGGTTTTGAAGGTTAACACTGTCCACGCGATAACGCGCAGGCTCGAAATGCTCTGTCCTTGCCCTCAGCTTCCCTCATGGGAGCAGCATGCCTTCCCAGGCCCATGTTTGCCCCATGCAGGTCAGGATAGTGCAGTTGCCTGGGGTAAACAGGCCCCGGCCCAGGCCAGTCAGAGGGTGGCCGAGTGGTCCACCAGGGCTCTGCACAGGCCCCAAGTGCCAGGAGGTGCCCTGCCCTGAAGGGGCAGCCACCATCTGGCAGTGCGGCCTGCTGGACAGTGTGGCTGGTTTCACACATGCGGGCACACATGCACACACCCTATGGTGGTTACTTGTGATGTCCACTTGACTTGAGGTGGACCAGCAAGCAGACTGGTGAATTCTGTGTGTGTCTAAGGAAGGCTGACTTGTGGGGTAACTTGACTGGACAGGACAAAGATGGGGGAGCTGCTGGGACCTGCCTCTGATATCCCCGATTCTCTAAACAGCCAACCCCACTAAAGACGCCTCAAAAGCAGCCATGGTTGTGACTTCAGCCCTACGATTTGGAGACGTGGTAGCTGCCGTTCCAGCAGCCACTCCTCCTGCAGCCCTTGCGGGCCCTCCCGGGTGCTGTGACGGCCTCAGTGCACTGTGAGCTCTGGGCTGTGATTCCACCTTGGCTGCAGCCGGCCTGAAATGAGGACCTGGCCGTGTTGACTCCATCCTGATGCCCCTGCTGGTGGCTGTCCCGACCTGCTCCCCTCTGCCAGCTCTGAGGAGGCTCTCAGGCAGGTCCCTGCGGTGTCTTAATGCCCTGGCGCTGCAGCTGCTGTCCAAATAAAGCCTCACCCTTGTAGTCCTATACAGCTGCAGGTGACCCTCGCCCCTGGAAGCATGGGTAGAGCAAGTCACATTAGTGAGACTGTGAGCCCTGAGGAGTCCCAGAGACCAGCAGAGACTGTCAGGGACCGGTGGCAGAGACCAGCAGCACTAATGGCACAGATAAGATGAATCAACTGCTGCTGATAAGTGGACATGGGTGACCACCTGCAGTGGGTGCCACAGAGGCAGCAGGGGCTGCTGGGGAGCCGTGGCCAACTGGGCTCTGAGCCTGGACTGCCGAGGGGCCGACAGCCTGCCTGGGGCTGCTCAGAGCTCTCAGGCTAAGGGGCAGGAGCCCCTGGCTGTCCAAGCCTGGAGCCACTAACAGCATGGAAGCTGCACTTTGCCCACTGGTGATTCCCATCTTAACTGGGCAAGAGAACCCTCAGCTGGTGGGTGACAAGGGCACAGACCCTTGTGTCCTGGTTTCTTCCAGTCTACATCATGTTGGGGCAGAGGCCTCCATGGGTGACCCAAAGCAAAGGTCAACCTTCATGTTTTTCCACAGAGATACTCAATTGGTCTAGAACTTTCCTCTCACCCTGGTGCATCATATCCTGGGCTGCCCAGCAGGTGCGGTGGTTGTGATGGGTCCGAGTCCAAAGGATTTGCATAAAGTTACCAGGAAGTTACTCTGCTCACTGCCCTTGAGTGACACTTTCCAGAAACAGTTAGACATTTCTTATCCCCACAGCGTGGATGCACAAGGAGGTGGAGAATCAGCTGCCTTCATGAAGCCAGACGTGAAAGGAATTTGCAAAACATTGTAAATCAGTTCTTCTTGTTGCTAGTTTTTTTTCTTTTGGAAAACACTCATTCTTTTTTCCAGAGAAACATGTTATTTACATTAGCATACAGTAGACTCATTGTTTTAAAAAATTTATAAAGTAAGCATCTAAAATTTCTCTTTGATTTCCAGTATGTTGAATAAGACTCTACCAAGCCCACACATGGAAAACCTCTTCCGCCCTCAAATTTCAAGCGTAGAAAACACCGTGACCCACTGTCCCCAGTGAAACGCCCCGGGGTGTACAAACTGCTCCCTCGGGATGTGACGGATCCACAAACCAAGGGCATCTTCCTGCCTGGCACCAAGAGAGGAGGTTAAAAGTCACAGTTGTTTCTATGGCAGATACCGTACAGAAGGGGGTGCCCGTGGTCGGGCCAGCAAGCGCCATCTCAGCCTGTGAAATGGGCTTCCACTGAAGGGTTTATGCCATGAGGCTGCTTGTAGTTTTAGAAGGCACTGTACACAACACTAGGTTGACCGTGGGTACTGGACATGAACACAAAACCGAGTAAAGTAGCCCAGAGGGACGACCAGATCCAGAGGGCACCGGGGAGCCCTTTCTAGGAGCGCCCTCCCATCTGGGAGTCGCTTGGTGGGGCAGAAGGCCTGCTGTCCCCCACCCCAGGCATCTGACACTGAGGCTGCTGTCCAGCGTGTCCACTGCTTCCAGTGCCTTTTGCCAGTAGGATTAGAGAGAAACAGCAAAGCCCCTACTCAGTGCACAGCAGGTGCCAGCGGAAGCCATGACAGCCCTGGCTGTGAACCCCTGCCTGAGTCTGCAGCTGCTGGGGTAGCCCTTTGTGATTCAGTTTTCCAGGTCCCACAAGTGTCCTGAATTCTCTAAGACCCGCTGGCTTTGGCTGCTCCAAAGGCGAGCTCAGGGGAGAGGTGGGGACCCCGACCCTCTGTGGCTGCAGTTCCAGGCAGGTGCACCATTTGGAGTCCATGTTTTGGCAGTGGGTACTAGTCCCATGAGCTCTGCTTGGTCCCCTCATGGCTCAGAGAGTGCAGGTGGGACCCTGAGAGTTTTGGGTGTGGGCATCCAAGATGCCTTCCAGGTCTGGGAGATATGCCAAGGTTTGTCCAGGGATCTTCCGAGCCCACTGTGGCTAAACCATCAGCACACGCGACACACAGCTGGGAAGGAATCTTTCTGAACGTGAAAGAACACAGTCAACATACTGGGGAAAACGGCCCACAGGTCCGCAGGACCCTGGGTCTCACTCTCTGGGGGTCGAGGGTAAAGGGCCTCTTTCCAAACTCTGCAGGGGCTGCCTGGGAGGAAAGGGGGTTCTCAGGGGACAGTTACCCCATCGTGACAATGCAGGATGGCGGGATGAGGAGAGGCTGGACGGGGTGGCTCCTGTCGCAATGTGGCACTGTTCACTACCTGTTGAAAGGGATCGAGAGTCACTTGTCTGTCCCCTAGGCCTGGTGGTCAAAAAAAGATGCATTTTTCAAAAAATGAGCAAATTACAGGAATTACAATGAGCAAATTTGGAATTACAGTTGCCAGATTTGGCCATGAAAAACACAGGATGGCCTGTTAAGTTTGAGTGCTAAATAAACAATAAATACTCTAATAACTGTCGTGTATGGGACACTCGTACTCCAAAGGAATTTACTACTTTGCTGAAATTGGAATTTATCTGGGCACCCTGTCGTTCTCCTCAACTTGAAATCACAGTGCCCTCCACTCACTGCAGAAGGCGGTTTCCCTGTGTGACCACTGACACACGAGAGCTGAGCTCATGAGATTTTTGATCTTTCTCTTGAATGTTCCCACCAAGAATTCCCTTGGTCTAGGTGGGTGTGGTGGTTCACGCCTGTAATCCCTGCACTCAGGAGGGTGAGGCAGGAGGTTGCTGTGAGTTTGAGGCCAGCCTGGACTACAGAGTGAATTCAAGGCCAGCCTGGACTGCATAATGAAACTCTGTCTCAAAAAAAAAAAAAAAAAGAACAAAAAGAATTCCCTTGATGTAATAGGAGCTTTTTTTTTTGTACTGGAAATTTGCCTGCGGGTAAAAATCAAATCCAGCAGCTTTTCTGGTTATCTTTCTTCTGTTTTCCACTCTTGGTTATTCTTCTCAGCAGTGTCTGGGGAAAGTGGACAAGCTTGCTATTTTTATCTTTAGGGAACTGTCTGGCGCCTTGCTGTGAGAGGGGAGGAAGGCTGGGGTAGATTATTCCTGTCTGGTCCGGGTGTGCTCTGTTTGGGGAGTCTCTGTGCCTTTCCTCTCTCCACACTACTTTTTCATGCTGCAAATTCCGCTTAGGCGGTTCTCTGAGCTCACACTGTGTCCCTGAGAGTGGGAAGATGCAGTCACTTCCTCTGAGATTTCAGCCCTACACATCCTGGGACAGTGACGGTGAATCTTTTCGAGGCCCTGGGCCCACACTGCACCCCAAAGCCCACTTGACTTCAGTAAGTGCCGGCCCTGGGCCTGAACCCGAGTGCTCAGCTGGCCGCTGGGGTGATGCCGGGGTGGTTTGGCTCGAGCACCCGCAGAGGGCTCTGTGCGCCCACTGCAATGTGTGCTGTAGGTTCACCGCCACTGTCCTAGAAGTGGAGGGACAGCCTGGGCTGCTTCTGTCATCTTTCTTCTTCCCCCATCTCTCCTTGCGCTTTCCTAATCTCCTCCTCTACCTGCTGGGATGGTTTCAGCTGACTTTTATGGTGTTTTAATTTGCCATTTAAAGGCATTTGGGTTGAGGCTGTGGTCATCATGGGGTCTCCCTGGCAGTGCCCCTCCCTGACCAGGGCAGAGGTGCGAAAGGGGTCTCTGCATGTCCTGAGTACCATGTGGTCACGTGGCTTGGGGTGTAGCAGAGACCCTGGCCCGGGCCTCCTCAGCAACCGCTCGAGACAGCTCGAATCTTTTAATGCAGCCCAGAGGTTGCTGCAAGGCTGTTTAGTGATGGCTTCATCAGAATACATCTGGGATTTCACAGCTCCATTTAACAAGTTCCTGACTTATGTACAGGCCAATGAAACTAGCACCAAAGGTCCGGATAGTAAACACACCCACCATGAACCCACAATTCCATGAACCCACATTTCCATGCCAACACCCTCAGCAAACATCAATTAGTTTGCATTTCTTAATTGACCATAAGGTAAATAATATTTTGTAGTGTTTTGTTTTATTTTGAGACTGAGTTTTACTGTGTAGCTCAGGCTGACCTCAAACTCAAGCAATCCTCCTGCTTCAGCCTTCCAAGTACCGGGATTACAGGCATGCACGACTGAGCCTAAGTGTCCGTTTAAAGGGAATCTAGCTCCCTTTACTCAGGCTTCTGAGATTTCATGCCTGTGGTTGTTGGAATCAGGAGGTTACTCCTTTTTGGCTGATGTGTAGTATTCTGCTGCGTGGTTACACCGCTGCTTGTCACCCACTGAGGCCCAGATGGATTGTTTCCAGTGGCTGCTGTAGAAAGACAGGTGTCGTGGACAGCCGTGGAGGAATCTCTGTACGGTCCTATGCTTCCATTTTCCTTGGGTAAACACTGGGGAGGGGAGTGGGCATCAGCGTAGTGTCTTAAGAAACTGCCAAACTTTCCCAGTTGCATCATTTCCCGCCCCAGCAGTGGAGCGAGACTGCTCATTGTGCCACATCCTTGGGGGCAAAGTGTTCTCCCTTCCTCTCCACCTCCCTCCATCTCCCTCCCTCCCCCACTCTCTCCCTCCCTCTGCTTTCCTACAGTGGTGGCCCGCTTTCACTCCTGGAATGGGGGCAGCACCCCAAATGTCTCCCGTTGTATCCCGTTGTATGCCTCTGCTCACTGTGGTGTGTCCGGGCAAGCCTGCCTGCCCTGTTATAGCCATGAGTGAGTGAGCCTGGTGTGATCAGTGCCCTCAGTGGACACTGGACCCCTGTGGGAGTCACTCCATCCTCTCCCTGCCTTCCCTCCCATGGGCACTGCTTCCAGTGTCATCTCTGCTTCCCTCCACCAGTCTCCCACCCTTGGGTCCCACCAGGACCCTTCCTGGACCCCCAATCTGTGCTTTGATGTAGGGCTGTGATGGGCAGGCCCTGTGAGCTCTGCTGGTGTGGGATGGAGGCCGGAGCCTCTCCTTTCTCCAGCTTGTGCCTTGAGGGTGAAAGGGTTTTGGCCCAGATAGGACACTGTAGCCAGGAAAACCGCAACCGGAAGCAGGAAGCCCCATCTCCCCTGCCCCTAGGAAGTTACCTGTGACGCCATCTTCCCGCCCCTGGAAATTTACATATGGTGCCAAACCTAGGACCAATGGGCTACCTGTGTATCCCTAATGCCCGCCTTAGGTTCCACCCCAAACCGAGGCTATTTACATGCCCCCACGCCAGGTGTCTGCCGGAGAGATCGCCGGACGCCAGCAGTGGGGGTGCCAGTCATCTCTCTCCGTGTTCTCAGAATAAAGGCCGCTTTTTATTTTATATTTCTCATCTTTTGTTAATATTTTCCATCTTTTGGAAATAACCCTAGCAGAGGGTCTCAGCCACCATCCAAGCAGGGGTCTCAACCGTTTCATCTGACACACGGCGCACTGTGGGGACCAGGTGGCTTGTGGGGGAATTCTGAGGTTTGGAAAGCAAGGTTTTCTCCACCTTATTTCATTAACTGAAAGCAAATCTCCACCCTGGGCTGTAGCTCTCTGTAGGATGCAGCCATGAGTACCCCTATGGAGGTCTCAAACCGATGAAGGACCAGGCTGAGATTCTCTAGGGATCAGTGAGTGAGACTCTGGCTGCATCTGAATGTCACGGACAGGAAGTCGCTTTAGGATCAAGGATGAGCCGCCCCTGCAGGTCTCAGGGGATGTGGCCCTGCTGAAGGGCTGGCCTATCGATGTGGAGGCTGAGCCTGGGTGGTCTAGAAGTCAGCTGCAGAACGGAAGTGGGACATCGGCTGTGGGCCAGCCCTAGGTGTGGCCTGTGGTATGCAACACTGAAAAGGTCAAAGCGTTCTCTTTATCAGGTGTTTTTAAACATAATTTTTCGTTTACTGCTGATAGACTTTCTATAATCCCGTGGCCTTTGTGAGAAAGTCGGAGCATGCACAGAAACCTCGAGAGGCTCACAGCTTGCTGCACATGTGAACCAAGGTGTGTCGAGCAGCCAGGGGAGCTTCCAGGACTTGCACAAAACCAGCTACCTCACCTTTAAGTTCCATAGCCTCCTGCTAGCCAATCCTTATCACTGCAAGGAAAAGAGCCTGAAAAACTGCTGTCCTATCCCTTGCTTCTAATACAGAGCATGGTCAAACTGGTTTGCTTAAAGCACAGTTTATTTTGTGCATTCTGTTGGACAGCTTTGGGAAGCTGAGGGTGGTCGGCTAAATAAAGTCTGGGCTCTGCTGCAAATGATACCTGGCTTTGCATCTCAATCCTGCTCCTTTTCTAGTTTTGCAACCTCAGACGCGGCTCTGAGCCTCAGTTTCCTGCTCAGAGGAGGGAGACTGCACCCACCCATACCATGGACCAGTCACAAGAGCAAAGGCACTCAGGTTTGTGGCGAGCCTGGCACACATGTGTGCTCCTCCAGCTCTGCTCTTCCTGTATCCCATTTTACACACAAAGGTAATAAAAGGCTACTACCAACCATGCAAAGAGACCCAGGTCTGTGTTTATTCATCCTGTCCTTGATGCAGTGTTAGAGTTGAGTAGACTGGTCCCAGCTGCCCGTCACGGCGCCCTGTGTAGCTTCTCTGACATCAGGCTGGGACGGGCTCCTGCCACACCGGCACAGGTCACAGAGGTGTCCCCGAAATGTCTGGTCAAGCCACAAGTACAGAGGGAGGTTGACCCAGCAGTGGGTGGTGGCGATGATCTTGGTGATCTGAATACTGGCGTCCAGTTTGCCACTGCTCTCACAGGCATGCAGGGATAGGCGCTCTTTTAAAGCAGACAGGAGAAGCACGATGTTGTAGGGTGCCCACATCAAAAGGAAGACAGAGACCATGCCACAGACCAGCCGGAACTTCCCTGGTGGCTCCTCCCTGCTCCTTGCTCGAAGGCAGCCGCATAGCAGAACAGACAGTGGCAACACAAGCACCAGGAGGTTCACCTTCAGGGTCAGGAAATACTTCCAGGAAGGCTCCTCCACCAGCAGGAAGTGAGGGCTGCTGAAGGAGCACCTGGAACTCCGGCCTTGCGGCAGCAGCAGATTAAACACTGTCTCAGGCAAAGTGACCAGAAAGGCCACCAGCCACATTATCAGTGTTGTAACGACGCCGCTGGTCACTGTTCTGCAGGCCCAGGCCAGCTCTCTCACCTGGGACGCGTGCAGGGTCAGGAGCACGTTGAACAGAGCTTCCCCGTGCAGCCCCAAGGAGTGCAGCCCCACCAGAACTGTGCAAGCGGCACGGCCCAGGCCTTCCCTGTGCTGGGCAGCGGGAGCCCAGAATGGCAGGGGGAGCAGGAAGCACAGGTTGGCAAGGGCCACGCAGAGGAAGTAGATGTTTTCCACATGTTTGAGTCCTTTGCATTTGACCAGGATGAGCAGAATTAAGAGGTTGACCAGGAGGCCCACAGTGAACAGGGCAGCGCAGACCTGGCCCACCTGCTGGGCCGACAGGACGGTGGCTGAAGACCTGGCGCATAGGTCCCCCTCCTCGACACCCAGGTCCCCATCTATGAGGACATCGTACTCATCCTCGGGCGCAGCCGTGTAATTAGCCATCTGCCGCAGGCTGACCTGTGGGAGAAATAAGAGGCTCTTTTCTGCACGACAGCTGCCTGGGTCCAGAGGAAACCTCAGAGAGGCTTGGTCCCCCGCTTATACCCCAAGGGTTATTTTCACACCATGAAATCACCCTATGCTTCCTTTTATTCAGAGCCCTGAGTCTACCAAGAGGAAATCAACATTTCTTTAACACATCCCCCAGTCCCCAGAGCAGTGACTTAGATGTTAGGGGACAACAACCCGCAGCCTGAAACTGTCATTGCTGACAGTCGTTTTTGGTAGAGAAACAAGACCCGCCCACTGGAAAAAAAAAAAAAAAAAACCCGGCAGCTGAGAAACAAGCAGTCAGAGAGAACCAAGTACCCCGGCTTCACTGCGAGAAATGACTACTGTCGGTCAGAAAGTTCGCTCACCCGTAAGGAGGCTTCCCTCGGCAGGCTGAGATGGTTTCCTCTCGAAGGGCACAAACAAATGTTTGCAAAAGTGAAACCATGCCGGGCACAGGCAGGGTCAGGGCTGGGGATGCACAGAGGACTCACCGCTTGCTGGAGTTCCGGCCGAGGAAGGGTTCCGCCTCTCTGCTGCCCATAGGGGGGCTGTGGGAATGCTTGGGGGGCTGTTGACTTTTGCACAGACTGGCCCTGACCCCAGAGTGGAGGGAAGCCACAGCTTTGTCCCCCGGTGCCTCTGCCCTCCAGCCACAGATCACTTTGGCAGCTAGAAGAAAGCAACTTGAAAGGTCTGGGCCTCTGTAGCCTTCTCAGTCTCTGGGAGAAAGCGGGAAGTTCTCTCTCCTCCCCTGCCTGTACCCCGCCTTTGATTTCCCCAGGGCCTGCAGACAGCTGTCCCTGTGCCTGATAAGGGGGACTGAGTTACCACCTGCTGGGACAGATAGGAGGGGCGTGACATGGGGGCTTGAGACCATGGTCCCTGGAGAGCTGGTGGCAGCTAGGAGTAGAATGCCCATGGTCAGTGCAAGTTCATACCCAGGGGGTCCTGACCCTCAAACGCAGCCTGTCACCCACCCCGCAAGTGAACCTAGGGAGATCCGTGGTGGTGAGCAGCTTGCGCCTGGGTTTCTGTTATCACTCATGCTGTCTGGGCGGCCGGAGGCAGGGGCCCCAAGAGAGAGATGTGGGGAAATGAAGCCTGGAGGGGCGTTCCCAGGGGAGGAGGCTGGGATAGTGGGGACAGGGATGGCCTGTAGGAGACCACCCTGGGTACTGACAGTCAGAAACAGGGGCGCCACTAGCAGCCAAAGCAGCTGGAGCTGGGATGCTGGGGGAGCTGATCTGAGACCTACAAAAGGGAGGAAAACCCTGAGTGAGGACAGGAGGTGACAGCAAGTCAGGCGGGCAGTGTAACCCCACACTGAGGCCAGGGTGGGGAGAGGAAATGGAAAGGACCCTGAGAACTGAGCCCGGGTGGGACTGGGAGGATGCGGGAGGGTGGGTGCGGTTTGGAAGAGGATGAGAAGAAAGAAGAACTTGAAAGAACTGGAAAAGAATGTGGATGAGCTCAGGTCAAGGACTCTTGGCAGCTGTCACCGACCTCCCCGGGGACCCATCCTACCTCCCCGCTGAGCATGGACATTTCTGGTTCTGGGATCTCCTCTGCTCGGCTGGAGCTGTGGAGACGGCAATGCACCCGGAAACTGTCCCCGTCCCCGTCCTCGCAGACACAGGCTGTGAGAAACCATTGCAAGAAAAAGAAAATCCAAAGAGCCAGACAGATGCATGGTGGAGCGATAAACCCCACTGAGTCCAAGTGCTGAGCAGAAGAGGAGCCGAGTTTGGGCTGGTACTGGTGGGAACGGGCGCTGGGCCTCTTCCCGGGGCACTAGGACAGGCAGTGGCGGTCACAGGGCCCTGGGAAGCTCTGTCGCTGGTGGCAGTAAGAATTTGGGACAGCAGTGTGTCTTCTTCCTGGGGTTTCTCCCTCCTGCCGCTGGGCATCTAGGGTCACCCCAGGACACTGGGAACCAAGTGGGTGGCTCTGGTCACTCAGTCTGGGATGGGAAGGCCAAGTGGTGTCAGACTTGGCAACTCAAACAAGTCCCCGGCACACTTGTGGCTGTGTCCTTTGGGGGGAAAGCGGGAGCGGCAGGCCCCACATAGGCCTGAGTCACAGAGTCAGCTGCGTGTGGGAAACTTTAGAAGTTTCCCCCAGGAAAGCCCTGTCCTGTATCCTCAGGGCCACCCCAGCTTTCTGATTAGCACAGCCTCCACTTTCAGTATTGTTCTGGCTCCATTCCCAGGGTGCTGCCTCGCCACACCCATGCCGTGGGATTCTAGAAACTTCTGTGCTGGTGGGAGGGAAAGCTTAAGACTCCGAGGCTGAGGCTGCAGGCAGGGTCCGCTTGCAACCCAGTACCTGAACCAGACAGGGCCACTGTGCCATCAGCTTTCTGTCTCTGGGACAAAGGCCCTTTCAGAAGGCAGGGGCATTGTGGCTCTCAGCTCCCGAGGTTTCAGGCTGTGGCCCCAGGTCACACACTGTGGCACAATGGCCCTCTCTGGGGGCTTCCCAGTCTAAACAGCTTTCACTTCACCCTCCCACTGCTTCCTATATGTGGATTATCCATTCACTCAACAAACACTGACAGGAGACCTGCCACATGCCCAGTCCAATGAAGAAAACGGGCAAAAATCCTGACCTATGGAACCAAATGAGCAGATCGATTGTAGGCTGTGGGGAAGAAGGCTCTGGGGAAGGCACCGGGAGGAAGGGGTGTGAGCCCTCTGGCGATGTTTGGGGACGCCACAGCCTGTGATATGGATGTGGTCTCTATTCCCCTGTCCACGTGTGGAGATCAAGGTCCAGGGTGGTGGCACCGAGGAGCATCAGGACCTTGAAGTGGGTCCCGGTGGGAGCTCGCTGGGGGTGTCACCCGTGGGGGGCTGGTATGGTTCTGGGGGGGGGGCGTTAGTTCCTGAGAGAGAGAATCGGTACAGACAGAGCACAAGGTTTCTGGCACTGTGCCTCACTCCGTGACGGCTCCCTGTCACCTCCTCCTACCACAATGCCACTGCTGAGCTGGAACCATGTCCTTGAACCTCTAAAGTGATGAGCTCATGAACTTCTATATATAGAGCACGCAGCCCAAGAGGCATTTTGTCACGCTGCCCCAAGCTCTCCCCATACCCCAGCTCATGCCTGAAACCCCATCCTCCTGCCGAGAGAGAGAGAGAGAGAGAGAGAGAGAGAGAGAGAGAGAGAGAGAGACAGAGAGACAGAGAGACAGAGAGACAGAGACACGATGCCTCCAAAACACAGATCACCAAAGGTCAGGCTGGGAAGCTTGGGGCTTGGGTGTACTTTCTGGAAGAGGCACTGTTAACTGTCCCCTGATGTGGCTCTTTCCATGGCCCCCCTTCATTCTGCAGTGCTCAAACATGTGAGAAGAGAGGAGACTTACACTAGGGTGTGTTACAATACAGAACTCTAAAGCCAGTGTCTTTACCGCAGGACTTAGTGCTCATGTGCTAGCAGGCACCTCTGTCCTCCCTGACCGAGAGAGGGTGCAGGTTTCCCAGAGAGGATCACTGAACCCACTTCCTCCTTTGCTTTATTTACTTCTGGGATGAATAATAATTGTGTATTGCTATTAGAGGAATATTCAACTGAGCGAACACACCGCTCACTTCACCAGTTCAGTACTGTGTGTGAGAGTGTGCTATAAGTCTACCAGTGTGGTGCTTTTGAAATACACATTATTTTTAGCTATTGCCACCTTGCAGTGCACCAGATCACTAAAACTTGCACCTGCTGTCTGAAGGTTTACCCTTTGATCAGCATCTTCTCTTTCCCCATTCTTCCCCTTGTCCAGCCTCTGGTAATCAATCAAATCCTACTCCGGAACTGACTCTGTGAGATTTCATATAAACGAGGTCACACTGGATTTGCCTTTCTGTACTTGACTTTTCTTATGCTTATGACTTAGCACAACGTCTGAGCTTTATTCTTTCCCAGGGATTGTGCCAGTCCATGGCGGACACAATGCCACAGTTTCTTCTACTGACAGACACCCGGATTGCTTCACAGCTTGACGATCACAAACAATGTACACATGACCACAGGAGTGCAGGAGTCTCTTGGATGCACTAATTTGAAGTGAGATTTCTGGATCATAGGGTAATTCTATTTTTAGTGTTTTGAGGAACCACTATACTGTTTTCTAAAATGGTGGCAGTAATTAGCATTAGTGTGTGTGTGTGTGTGTATTGAACACGGGGAGCACTGGCACACCAGGCAAGGACCTCACCACTGAGCTACATCCCCAAACCACGACTTTACAATCTTATCCGCCCCCACAAGGGTCCCCTTTTCTCCACACTCTTGCTAGGGCTTCTAACATTTGTCTTTTGAGGAAAGATGTCCTAGCAGGCATGAGTTGATATTTCATTGGAGCTTTGCCCTGCGTTTCTATTTTTTTTCATATATTCATTGGTCTCTGGACATAGTCTTTTGAGAAACATCTGCTCACCCCTTCGCCCATTTCTTAAGAAGGTTGTTAGCTTTCTTGCATTTAAGTTCCTTGTACATTTTGGATATTATCCCATGCATGATTTGCACATATTTTCTTCCAATCCACAGATTGTCACCTTGCTATTGTTGCCTTTGTTGTCAGAAAGCTTTTTAATCTGAATGCTTCAGCTTGCCTGTTTTTGCTTTGCCCCCTGTGCATGTAGTCAAGGAGTTCCTGCTCAGACCCATATGGTGGCGATTCTCCTTAGCTTTCTTCTAGTAGTGTTGCAGTTTCAGGTCTTAGAGATTTTAACCCACAGGAGTTGAGCTGTGTCTATAAGGGGACAGAGAGACTATTTTTGTTCTATCTGTGGATTTCCAGTTCCCCTAGCACTGGTTACTGAAGAAGAGATCCCGCTTTCACCACTGTGGCTTCCTGGCTCTGCCTCCGGATTGCGTATGTTTTTGTGCCAATCGCCACGCTGTTTGGATTACAGCAGATTGTAAAACTGAGTTTGTTCATTTTGCTCAAGATTGCTTTGCTGGTGAGGAGTTTCCCTGGTGTTAGGACTTACTTTCTGGTTCCGGGAAAACTGACACTGACACTGATAAGAACTGACGTGATTCTGGAGATCATGTTCAGTGGTCAGCACTAACGAACCAGATCATTAGACCTCCTGCTGCAATCTGAGACTCTTACCCTTTGACTGACATCCCTTCTTTCCCCACTCTTCTCCTTGTCCGGCCGCTGGTAACCCTCCTGCCTGGGTGTCAGCACTAATGCTCCCTCCGATCCAAAGACGTGGCGCATTTTTCCCTCGGTGGTGTCTTCATGTTCTTTCGTCAGCGTCTTGTCGTTTTCAGAGTGCAGATCTTTTAGCTCCTTGCATAAATGTATTCCTCAATATTTTTAGTAAATGGGACTATTCCCTTAAATTTCTCTGCAGACAGTTCAGTGGTGTAAAGCAGAAATGCTACTTATTTTTGTATATTGGTTTTATGACCTGCAAGTTACTGAATTCATCTGTTCTGGTTGCTTTTTTTTTTAATTTTCAAGAATTTTCTACACATAAGCTCATGCTACCCCCAAACAGAAAGCGTCATACAGCTTCCCTTGCTGTGTGGGTGCATTTTATTTTTTCCTGCTGCCTAACTGCTCTGGCTGTGACCTTCCAGGATGATGTGGAGTGACCTCCTGGTCTCCAAGGAGACGCCCTCAGCTCGCCTCTGCTCCGACTCCACCTGGGCCTGGCCCCGGGGGGCTCCATCGTGGTGAGGTGCTTCTCTCTGTATTTATGTTTTGAGATGTGGATGTTGGATTTTGTCAAAACCCTTTCTGCATTTTTGAGATAATCATGTGTCGTTGGCCATTTTTGTTACTACGGTGTGGCATGTTTATGGATGCAGGTACCGAAGCCCTGGGATGCACAGGCCTTTACCACGTTGAATGACCTTTTAAATGCACCATCGAGCTGTTGTTACCTAGCCATTCATTGAGGATGTTTGCATCAGGGTTTGTCAGGGATACCGGTCTGCAGTCCTCTTCCTTACTGTATCCTCTGGGCTTGCTATCAGGCTAATGCTGCTTTCACAGGACCAGTCTGAAAATTCCCTGTTTCTCAACATTTTTGGGATGCCTTTGAGGAGGCCTGATTTTAGTTCTTCTGTAAATGTTGGTAAAATACAGCAGGGAGGCCATCAGTTAGGTCTGGGGCTGTCCCTGATGACAGACGATAGGAATAGTAATATTCCTATTGAGTCAACAGTCTGTTTTGTTATTGTTCTACTCAGCTTCTGCATCTCTTTCCAAGTCCATCCTCTAGGTTTCTAGGAATTTAGCTGTTTCCCTGAGGTCACCCAATTTCTTGCTGGGTAGCTCCTCATGGTATCTGCTCATATTTCTGCAGAATCAGTCACAGCAGTTCCTCTTTCGTTTCTGATTGTTTGAGTCTTTTTCTTTGTTAGTCTAACTAAATATTTGTCAGTTTTATCTATTTTCTGTAAAAAAAAGAAATTCTGCTTTGACCTCCGTTATTTTCCTCCTTCTGCTAGGTTTCGGCTTACTTTGTCTTCTGCTGGTTCCAGCGGTGTAATGTTGGGTCATTTATCTGGGATTGCTCTGTTTCTGCTTGTCGCTCGGTCGGTCCTGCTGTGGCTGTGCCCATAAGTCTGGATATTATTGGACCTCGGATGTACATGAGATGTGGGTCTTGGGTTGTCAGAGTGGATTTCCCTCCTCATGAAGATGACTCGAAGCTTCCTTGCTGTCCTCTGCCTCTGGGAGGGCTCCTGCCGGCCACCTTTCCTGGGGAGGACCTCTGTGATGGCTCTCCCTGGAAGAAGACAAGGTGTCTCCACTATCAAGCTTTTCCTGCTTTCCTGCACTGACTGTACAGAGGTGGCTGGGACAGTCCTCTCCCCCCTCAGCTGGCTTTAAGCATTGTAAATGTATCTGGGGCAGGTGCTGATGTGTGACCTTTGAAGCAATGCTACAGGTCAGGGATGCCTAATCTACAGCTCCCTGCTACTGAGTGGGAGCTAGGCTGAGAGGCAGCTGCACTGTGGGCTAGGACTGAGCCTTGAGAAAGAGGCAGGGACGCCCCAGGGCAAGAAAGTTAGACATCAGAGCTGAAGCAACTGGCCCAAAACACAAGCTACTTCCTCAAACCGAATTATGCAGATTCCTCCTGACTTAGAGGCACTTGTTACTGAATCAGCTATCTTGTGCATGTCACACAGGTGCCACTGTATCCCTTACCCAGCCCTTACCCTGCCACTCTCACAGCCACCCAACCTCGAGCCACCCCTTCCTCAAAGATTCCTAAGTGAACTCAGGGTCCCCTGGGCTCCCCACAACTGTGCATACATATTTGTCTATTTACTCTGTTTGCCTGTCTCTTAATTCCTGTGGCTGCAGTGGAAGTGGTAGATCACACACTAGAATTCCAGTAACTTTTCCCTGGCTTACAAATATAAACTCCCCTGGATGGTGACGAGCTCTGGGCTGGGCTCCTCTGGCTCTTCCCACTTTTGGCTGCATTGGAGGGTCTTCTCAGCTCCTGCCTCACAGAATCCAAGGACTTCTCTTTTTTCTTCATATTCTTTGCACTTAGGGACTTTAAAAAAATGTATACAACTTTTTGTGCATTAGGAAAGTTTTCAAACTTCAGTTGCTGAGTTAACTCATTCTGTTTTTTTCTTTTCTTTTCTTTTTTAGTACCAAGGATTGAACTCACAACCTTGCACTTGCCAGGCAAGTGCTTGTGCCATGGAGCTAAATCCCTGGCAAGTATCTGACCCTGGGTTTGTCTATATTAAGCCAGTGACGAAGATGGTACATAGCTACTGAGTCACGTTCCAGTGAGTTTTGTTCACAATTGTAGCTCATTTATTCACTTTGCAGACCTCTTGGTGCTTTGCTTTTTGAGCCAGGGTTGCGTACCATGCATAGTTCAGTCTGGTCTTGAACTCACTCCTGCCTCAGCCTCCTGAGTGTCAGGACAGTAGCCCTGCCCACCAGACACAGCTCACCTCACACCTTGCTAGCTCCATCTCCAGGCTCTCCCCCTCCGTCTCCTGCGTCTGCTCCCTATCCTCCTCTCCCCAAGTTACGTCTTGGAGTTCACTTGTCAGTTTCAGGCTCCTTGCTCTTCTGAGTTTTAGGGGCGGTGAGGAGCTTTTGGTGGGAGGTCAGGGGATCCAGCTCTGGCTTCTTCCTGGTGGAGTCTCAGTGGCTCAGTGGCTCCCTTGACCCAAGCATCACACAGCAGCCCTTTGCCCCTTCCAGTGGGACATGGAAAGGAGGCTGCTCTCGCTGCCCCTCTGGGTCCACCCGGGTTTTGTAAAATGCCCTCCTCCAATGTCTTTTGCAGGCTCTTTGGCTGTTCCTTTTGTTTCAGGCCAGGAACTTTGCCAGGCTTGGGGGAAATGGTGAGCAGAGCAGATCTTGCCATCTCTGAAAGGGAAATGGTCAGGAAGAGGACGGAGTATAATCCTGGTGGCCTGTGCCAAGGAATGTCTTGCCCCCCCCCGGAGGATGGTGGCCATGACAGTGACAGCTGGCCAGGTTCTGTCCAGCTAGAGAGTTCTAGGTTCCCTGCCAAATTTGTTGACCCCCAAATAACAAGAACTAGAAATCAGAATTTCCAAAGCCGAGGTCGGAAGACCTCGCAACTCACACAGGGACTTGCACAGCCTAGAAGGGGAAGTCAAGGCCTGGTGAGGCCATCCTACCCTTGCTCAAGCTAATCACTCACTGATTACTTATAAGTGCTTCCAGGGGGCGACAAAGGGCCACAGAGGAGCTGGATGGTCCTCCCAGCCCAGCTGTCTCACTTGCCGTAGGTTCCATAGATTTCCATAGGGTTCCATCAGTTTCCATAGCGGTCTACAGATTTGGATTCAGACAATGATTCAGTATGAATCACATCACTAATGGATAAAACTTTCTCTAATGAACAGCAGCAAAAACTATTATGTGAAGTAACATCCTCATTTGGAAATCTTCCCTTCAATAAAACTAAATTCTGACCCATGTTCGTGGTGCAGGGAAGTTTGGAGCTACTCTTCAGCTGGAGATCTCCGGCTCCTGCCAGGCCTCAGCCAGGTGAGGCCCTGAGGCTAATCCAGAGCTCACAGCCTCTGAGGCCTTGACTGGAGCCACTGCAAGTTTCCACCCCTGTGGGAGACAATTTGAGTGACTCCCCTTGAGTATAGAACAACTGCTGCAACTTTGATTATATGGAGGCTTATTTCCGTATACCGACGTGTACAGAGCTGACTGTGGTATTTCCTTCTGTATTCTATTGGCTCTAAGCATTGCAAACAAGGCCAGCCGAGGTACTGGGATGTAATCTCCAAAGCCATCCAACAGTCTCCTGTTTCCTCACACAGTGTTCTCTGTAAAAGATGAGTGCAGCGGGATGGCAGAGCCAGTCAGCTCCAGGAATGTCAACTGGGTATGAGCCTCAGGGTAAAGAGGCTATGAGTCCCCAGGGCACAGAAGTTCCCATATCAGAAACAGAAGCAACAGCTTCCTAAAACAATTCAGTAGCTACCTTAATTGAATTATGCAAATTAATCCTTCTGTATATCCTTATCTCTGCATTTTGCAGAGATGCTTTTCTCCCTACCTGGCCAGCCAGCTCAAGTTACTCATGGAGTTCCCCCATCCTCGCTGTCACTCATCCCTGACCCACCTGCTTCTTCACAAGATAATAAATTCTGGGAGAGGCCTAGGATCAGGGCCTTTGTCCACACATCCTCACAGGGATTGGACTCAGTACCCCTTGGCTGCCCATAACTTTGAATCTGTCTTGGTGTCTTTACTCTCACCATGGGTTGCACTGGAGGTGGTAGATGGGAATTAACTTGCTGGGATTCCAATCACATCTCAATGGGATTATAAATATAATTTTTGGATTGTGAGGAAGACTGGAAAAGGGATTACATTACTTGGATGACCATACACAATATTTGGGATTACAATATGCCCTGAGTTCATGACTGCCATCTCTTTTCTGACTTGGAGGAGGATCCCCTGAGCCTGCAGGAAAGGTTCTTGGAGGTCACTGTCTCAGGAATCCAGGAACACAAGGCTGAACACAAACCTAGCTCTGTGGCTTCCAAGGAGCTCAGAACTTGCTGGGGGAGGAGGAAAACTTACCCTGCGCCCCTTTGCCGAGAGTGGGCTAAGGAGGAAGCCGGGCCAGGGCTGCCTGGACCTCCCGACCTTACAGTTCCGGTCCCACTGCTGTGTCCCTGGATGTCTCTCCTGCTCTTACCTCACTTCGGGTCCGGCCATGTCATACGCTTCCCATCCCTCCCACCCCCTCTCTTCTGGGCCACTTGGACGCCCTAACTTTCTCTGCACATCTCCTTGTTTTGGGGGCTCTTTATTCTGCCTGGACATCTCCAAGGAACTGGCAAGAAATGAAGAACTCTGAGGTCAGATTTTCCTTTAGGAGACAAGAAGTTTCCAGATGTCTTTAGCCTCAAGCATCAGCCACCACCCAACCTCTCCTCAGCTCTGGGAAAGGGACAGGATATGCAGACTCTGGTGTGGAAAGGCCAAGTCCAGCTTTGTTTCCACAGGAAAGGGTGGAGAGGTCCAGTGCTGGGAGGGATGGAGCAAGCCTAAGCCAGATGTGGTGGTGCATGCCTGTAATCCCAGGCCTGAGGAGACTGAGGCAGGAGGATCACTGTGAGTTAGAGGCAAGCTCTGACTTAAAAATCAAACCAAAGAAAACAAGCCTGGACAGGTCTATTGTGTCCCTGTGTCCTTTCCTGCACTATGCCTTCTATCAACAACACACTTGCACTCAGGAAGATGGCAATTTGAGAGATGAGGCCCTGGCCTACACCTTCAACTCTGGAGACTGGGTGACCTGGGGTGAGTGTTCCTGCATCATTGTGAGCCCTGGGAGGGGTTAAGATCTTTGCTCCACAGGCCAGGGAACTTTGCAGCTTCCTGTCGCACTGGACCGGCTCAGCAGAGCTAGAGCCTGCCTGCCCCACCCCCAGTGACCCTCTCTCATTCTGGGGAACTGGGTGGCCAGAGTCCCAGAAGCTGAGAACATAGAAGAGGATTTTCAACAGGTCCAGGGGAAGCCTTGTAATAACACTTGAAACACGGAAATATAGGAAAATGACAAAATGAAAGACCAAAATACAATCTCAAGCCTCCAGCCCATCCCAAGAAACCTTAGGAGCTATGTACATAGAAGAAAACATATGCCATACACCTGAAATACCTGAAATAATAGCAACTGAAATAAAGAAGCAACTCCGGGAAGCTTTAAAGGAATTCAAACTAGAAATAATCTCCCAGGTAAAAGAAGAAATGATAAAAGAAATAAAAGAGATGCTGAACATATCTAAAGAAGACACAGTTAAAAAATTGGAAGAACCAAACAAAAAGAATCTCTGGATGAACAATATAAGAAACAAACAGAATACATGAAGCAGATGCAAAGAGATATACAGGAAATCAAAAATTCCATTGAAAGTTGTAAAAACTGCCTCAATGAAAGTGAAGATAGAATTTCAGAATTCGAAGACAAGACTGCAGCTAGTGAACAGGAAAGGAAAGATTTTTTTTGAAATATTTTTTAAAAATAACAAGCAATCAGGAAATACCAATTCAAAGAGTGCAAGATGATGCAAAGAAAAACAACATAAGATTTATAGGGATAAATGAAAAAGAAGGAGACAACACAAAGGATGTCAAGAGGATATTTAGAGAAGTAATAGCTCAAGATTTCCCAAACATGAGAATGGAAACTGACATCAGGATCAGTGAAGCATATAGAACTCCAAATAGCCATAACCAAAGTAAAACTACACCCAGGCATATAATAATCACCATCCCAGAAATCCAACATAAGAATAGAATATTAAAAGCTGTCAGAGAGAAAAGACAGATCACCTATAAAGAAAACCTATCACAGCAGACTTCTCAGCATAAACAATAAAGTCAAGAAGAGCAGGGAGTGAAACATTTCAGATCCTAAAGGAAAATGATTTCCAACCTAGACTGATGTACCCTGGAAAACTGTCCTTCAAAATTGATGGAGAAATAAGATACTTCCATGACAAAGAACAGCTGAAGAACTTCATGATCACCATGCCAGCCCTGCAAAGAATACTGAAAGACAGTTTAGATACACTTAGGAAAAAACCACTAAGCAAAGCAGACAAACAGAATGGAAAGTTAAAGATGCAACAGCAGAAAGATAACATGTCAACAATAAATAAATATATAACAGTTATAACCATTAATGTAAATGGTCTCAATACACCAATTAAAAGAAACAGACTGGCAGAATGTATCAAGAAACAACATCCAACCATATGCTGTTTACAAGAAACCCATCTAACCCAAAAGGATACTCACAGACTGAAAGTCAAAGAATGGAAAACAATACTTCATGCAACAGGAACCCAAAAAACAGCAGGGGCAGCTACTATGTTTGCAGACAATGTGAACTTCAAACCAAGAATGATCAGAAGAGATAAAAGAAGATCATTACATACTGGTTAGGGGAAAACTTCAAGAGAAAGAGATAACAATCTTAAATATACATGCACCAAATTCCAGAGCACCCAGTTATATAAAGCAAGTATTAATAGAAATGAAAAAACAAATTAGCAATAACACAATTATAACAGGAGACCTTAACACACCATTGACACCAAGGGACAGATCAACCAGACAGAAAATCAGCAAAGAAATAACAGAACTGAATCACACCTGTGAACAAATGGACTTGATAGACATATACAGAGTGTTCCATCTAACAACATCAGAATGCACATTCTTCTCAGCAGTACATGGGACATTCTCTAAAATAGGCCATATACTAGCCCACAGAACATATTTAAATAAATGCAAAAGAGTTGAAATTATCCCATGCATGTTATCGGATCATAGCACCATGAAACTAGAAATTAATGATAAATGATGTGGCAAAATTCCCACAAACACATGGAAACTGAATAACATACTCTTGAGTAATCAGTGGGTCACAGGGGAAATTAAAGAAGAAATTAAACAATACCTACAAGCAAGTGAAAATACAAATACAACTTACTGGAATCTGTGGAATGCAATGAAAGCTGTCCTCAGAAGAAAATTTATTGCACTGAGTTCCCACATCAGGAAAACAGAATGAATACATACACCTCAAACATCTAGAAAAAGAAGAGCAAGTCAAGCCCAAAGCCAAAAGAAGGGAGGAAATTATAAAAATCAGAGCAGAAATTAATGCAATAGAGACTAAGAAAACAATCCAAAGAATCAACGAATCAAAGAGTTGGTTCTTTGAAAGAATAAATAAAATTGATAGGCCCCTAGCCAACCTTATTAAAAAAAGGGAAGAAGAAACTCAAATTCCTGCAATAAGGAATGAAAAAGGCAAAATCACTACAGACTCTGTAGAAATACGGAAGATCATTAACACCTATTTCGAAAACCTCTACTCTCATAGGTTTGATAATACAGAAGAGATTGATAGATTCCTAGAAACATATGAAGTACCAAAGCTAGGTCAAGAAGTTGTGAAACTGCTGAATAACCCAATTTCTATTAATGAAATTGACAATGTAATTAAGTCCTTACTTACAAAGAAGAGCCCAGGCCCAGACAGATTCATTGCGGAATTCTACAAGAAATACAAAGAAGACCTAATGCCGACACTCCTCCAACTCTTCAATGAAATTGAAAGGGAAGCAATCCTTCCTAAGTCATTCCTGGAAGCAAATATTACTCTAGTATCAAAACCCGAGAAAGACCCAACTAAAAAGGAGAACTACAGGCCAGTCTCCCTAATGAACACAGATACAAAAATCCTCAATAAAATATTGGCAAATAGGATGCAGCAAATAATCAAGAAGATTATACACCATGACCAAGTGGGATTCATCCCAGGCATGCAGGGATGGTTCAACATATATAAATCAATAAATGTAATCCACCATATCAATAAAGCCAAAAGTAAAAATCACACGATCATTTCTGTAGATGCAGAAAAAGCTTTGGATAAGGTCCAACATTCATTCATGATAAGAACCTTACAGAAAATTGGAATAGATGGTCTTAACCTCAATAGGATAAAGGCCATCTATGACAAACCAACATCCAGTATCATACTAAATGGCCAAAAACTGAAGGCTTTTACCTTAAAATCAGGCACAAGAAAAGGATGTCCCTTATAACCACTCCTATTTAAAATAGTACTGGAAATACTAGCCAGAGCAATTAGACAAGAGAGAGAAATAAAAGGGATAAAGATAGGCAAAGAAGTTAAATTATCATTATTTGCGGATGACATGATAATCTACATAGAAGACCCCCAAAACTCCATTGAAAGACTCCTAGATATAATAAATTCAGCAATGCAGCTGGACACAAAATCAATACTCAAAAATTAATAACATTTCTATACACTAACAACAAAATCAGAGAGAGAGAGAGAGAGAGAGAGAGAAATAATAAAAGCCACACCCTTCACACTAGCAACCAAAAAAATGAAATATTTAGGAATTATTCTCACAAAAGAAGTGAAAGATCTATATAAGGAAAATTATAATACACTGAAAAAAGAAATTGAAGAGGATCTCAGAAAATGGAAAGACATTCCTTACTCATGGATAGGAAGAATAAATATTGTGAAAATGGTCATTCTCTCAAAACTGTTACACAGATTCAATGCAATCCCAATAAAAATACCATCAACATACCACATAGACCTAGAGAAATCACCCCGAAAATTCATCTGGAACCAGAAGAGACCTAGAATAGCAAAGACAGTTCTAAACAGCAAAGGACAAGGCAGGAGGCATCACAATCCTTGACTTGAAGTTATACTACAAAGCAACTGTAGTAAAATCAACATGGTACTGGAATCAAAACAGAGCTGAAGATCAATGGAATAGATTAGAAGATACAGCCACAACTACAAACACACTCAACCACCTTATCTTTGATAAAGGGGCCAAACATGCTCACTGGAAGAACAACAGTCTCTTTAATAAATGGTGTTGGAAAAACTTGCTCTCCATATGCCGAAAATTGAGACTAGACCCATGCCTATCATCATGTACTAAATTAAAATCTAACTGGATCAAAGGTCTGAATATTAAAACGGAAACACTAAATCTATTGGAAGACAAGTTGGGTAAAAACCTTGAAGACATAGGGGTAGGTGGAGAATTCATGAACAGGAATCAAACTGCATGGGAAATACTTCCCAGAATCAACAACTGGGATCATGTCTTATTAAAAAGTTTCTGCATGTCAAAAGAAATCTCTAGCATAGTGAAAACAAAACCTACAAACTAGGAAACAATCTTAGTGAACTGTCCCTAAGACAAAGGACTTCTGTCTAAAACATATAAAGAATTAAAAAAAAATCAGACCCCCAAAATTCAAGAATTCAATCAAAAAATGGGCATCTGAGATGAATATGCAATTCTCAGATGAAGAAATACAAATGGCAAATAAATACATGAAAAAATGTTCATCATCATTAGTCATTAGAGAAATGCAAATTAAAACTACACTGAGATTTCACCTCACTCCAGAAAGATTGGCCAGGACCAAGAAAACTATCAACAACAAACGCTGGAGAGGCTGTGGGGAAAGGGGAACTCTCCTGTACTGTTGATGGGAGTGTAGACTTGTGGAGGTCAGTCTGGAAATCTCTCAGAAAGCTGGGATTGGAAGTCCCATTTGTTCCAGCTATTCCACTTCTAGGCATATTCCCAGAAGAACTGAAAACATCATACTATAGTGATATAAGTGTACCCATGTTTATAGCAGCACAATTTGTAATAGCCAGATCTTGGAAACAACTTAAGTGTCCACCAACTGAGGAATGGATAAAAAAGTTGTGGTATTTTTATGCAATGGAGTACTACTCAGCTATAAAGAATGATCACATTGAGATATTTATAAATAAATGGATGCAGCTTGAGAACATACTCATAAGCGAAATAAATCAAACTCACATGTATAAATATCAAATAGTTTCCCTAGTGTAAGAAATGGTAAGAATACATAAAAGTATGTGGTAATCATGATTCCCCATTATATTGCTTTGAAGCCTTATGTTTTCTTTCATTAAATGGAATGTTTTTTGTTATACTAAGATGCTGAAAAATTAAAATAGTTGATTAAAAGATAATTAACAAAAATAGTTACTTAAAAAGATAGTTATTAGTAATATTGTCATTCTGTACTGAGCTCATTACCCTAGTAACCAAGCACCAACCACATAGTTATAAATTAACTGACCGCGTCGTTCTGCTGTTCTGTAATGCGTCATCCCCCCCACCTTAGTGACCTGTGTGCTATGTCAACTTTTGTTCCCCTTGTAAGAGACAAATGATGCTGTGTCAACCATTGTTCCCTTTATGAGAGATAAATGTTCCTGGGATTGTCAGACCAAGGGCTATGAGTTGGCTAACCACCCACTGTGAAATGCCTCTTACCTCAAGCAAAGGGGAACAAAGGCCCACCTTATTTCTGTTTCTCATCACTATGTACTTAATGATCAATGAGCTAATCATAAATGAACTATAAAAATCAGTCAAAATTCTGACTCAGTTGCACAGCTTTGCAAATTCCATCTGCACTGTGTCGCTGGGCCAGCTAAAATAAAAGCGCTTCTTTTAAAAAAGACGTCTTGCCCCGTTTGTCATCTTGGGGTCTTGCCCCATTTTTCATCTCAGGGGCTCTGTGGGGATTACAACAGTTTTATTCTGGGTTGTTTGATTTTATTGTCTGTGATGGTATGAACAGCAATTTTGAAGAAAACAAGACATTGTAATAGCTATCAATGATTTAATATCATCTTGTTTTGAAGTCCCACCAAGCTTATGTTTTTCTGTCTCCATCGGTTTTATCATGTTGTATCTTACTGGACTTTGTTATATGTGATAGTATAAACAATTTTTTATAGACAAGGAGATAATATAGTAACCATTGTTCATTTTCTGTAGTTGGTTCTGAATACCTTGTAATACTTTCATTCTCTTGAATGGTTTTACACTGTCTTTTTATTTTTGATACTATAGTATATCAAGGTATACTCAAATATTTCAAGGAAAGAGATGCTACCATGGTAGCTACTGTTATGTCGGGTTGTCTTATGGTGAAACATTATGTTGCATAAATTGTTCTGTTCTGACCTGCGTTGTTATGTCTTCTTTTATCTTAATCTTTAAAAAAAAAAAAAAAAAGGAGAGACAAGGTCCCTCCATCTCCTTCAGGGCTAACTTTGAAAGAACCCCTTTTCTTTTTTTACCTAAATAACTGAAATAATCCTTTGATCTGATCAGCAGAGAGCAAAGGAACCTCAGTGCAGGAACCTGAATGGCTGGGACCATGGGGGCCCCCGAGACAACCAATCTACCCTGCCCAGCACTCTGGGTCTGGATGTCTACACTAGCACTTCTAGTTCCTGCCAATGGAACCTAACATCCTTGAGGATTTGGGGACCAATTCACCCTCCCATACAATGAAATTAGTGTTCTCCTCTCCATGGCCACCACCTCTACCTAAGACCACGTCTTGATGGCTGCCCATGCTCCCCTGTGGCCATCAGGCCTCCTCTTCCTTACCTCCCCCGCCACCCTCCATCTTCCACTGCAGCCCTGACTCTGGGCCCCACGCTGGCCTGGCTCCTGGCTGGCCGCTCCCTGCACCCTTCAGTGGGGTGTGAGATCCTCCCTCCGGACCTGTTCTGTCTGTGTCCCACTGTCCCCTGTCCCTGAAGTCCTGTTCCATGGCCTCTGTGTCTTCTCCACAGCTTCTGCTGAAATTCCTGCACTGACCGGCAGTGTAGACACACTTTTCCACATCACTGCTCCTGCGTGAGAAGAGACAAGAAGGACACCTGACAGTGAGGACCAAAGGTTTCCTTATGTGTAAGACTGCTCAGCTGTGGGGAGATGCTGCCGAGAGTGTGCTGCTGGCTCGTGGCTCTTACTGAGCTGCATCACGAGCTAGGTCTGATGGCAGCTGTGGGCTGGGAGCATCCTAGGTGCCAGGGAAACCACAGCGACACCCACACATGACCGCTGCTCTGTCTGCATCACCGCTGTCTCTGTCACATCACCGCTGCAATATGGGAGTTTGTGACAGCACTTACCCCAGCATGCTGGCCTCTCCACAAACACTGTCCCATGAGTGAACAGATACAAATATGAACCCTCAGCATTAGTGACACTTTCTGCTGTAATCTTCCCTTGCTCCTCGGTAGGGGGGTCTGGATCGAGGAGGAGGAAGATGTTTTAATGCCTTAAAATGGAACAGCACTTGGAGGGAGCCTCACACTTTTCTTGGTGATGATACCAGGTCCCCTAGGAGAGCAGCTGTTAATAGGACAGGCAGAGAGCTGTGTACCCTGCATGCTGTGGGGTGCAGATGATGGGGAACAGGGCTTCCTGGCATCTGCGTTGGCTGAGGCTCTCTTGGTGCAGGTGATAATGACCTGCACAAGGGTCACCCGGCGATGAAACAGAGTGGAGATGGCTGGCAGGGTTGGTTACAGAGAGGAGGGACCCACGGGTGTCCCACGTGGGACCCTAGGTCATCAGAGATCTTTGGCAGGGCGTGGTGGCCACTGACTGCCTATGGGGGCTCAGTCGTGGTCATCATTTCTAGGGACGAGATGCCGATAGACTCGTTTGGGGCACACACTTAGAATTAGTGACAGGAAGGTGGCCTCTTGCGGTTTGTATCCCTTGCCATGGTCCGTGAGAGAAACTTAATTTTTTTCCTTTTCCTCCTTTCTTCCTTTTTCTTCCCTCTCCTACCTTCTCCTCCTTCCCCTCCTTTCTTCTCCTTAACTCTCTGCTCTCTCACACCCATGCTCACAGCACTTATCTGCTTATCTGTGTCCCTCCATCATCCACCATCTTGCCGAGCACTTCTGCCCTTAGACGACACGGCACCGTGGTTTATCTCTGCGCATGCGCGGGGCGGTCCCACTGGTATTTGGAAGGAGCTGCTACCCGCACCCCTTCCTCAGGCCCTTACCTTCCCCTGGGTTTCAGGCCTCCTCCCCGGACTGTCCACAGTGCTTTCCAAACGCTTGTGGGACTGTTTACTTTCCCTGTCCCCCGTGGGCCGGCTTCTCGCACACAGTGGGCGCTCATCGGTGTGATCGGGGTGCACAGGCGAATGCTGAACCTGGGTGCAGGTGGTGACACCTGGCTGGGCTGATGGGGACACCACCTTAGCTACCCCTCTCCCCAGAGGTCTGCTTCTGCTGGGAGGAGGAAAGAAGCGCTGCTCAAGGTCCCCGTCCCTCTCAGGGGAGGCCCGCAGCAGACATCGCCCTCCCTGCTCCCACGCTGGGCCCCTGGCTTCCAGGGGAAGGGGTGGACTTGGGGGTCCCCTGACTGCTCTTGCCCCAGATCCGGATGGAGGAGTGGGTCCACTTCCTGGGCGTTGGCCACACCTACCCAAAATGGCGCTGTCAGGGCTTCAGGGATCCCGAGGTGAGGCGGCTGCCGGAGCTGTAGTGTCTACCTGGGACCAGATTTATGGGTACCAGGTTAACTCACCCAAAAAGGCATCGGAAGGAACAACGCAGCCAGGCAGACTGGACACTGTGTGGGGGAGGGTGACCCTTTCCATCGGCTCCTGTAAAATCAGAGTGGATTCGCAGGCAACCAGCCCAGCAGAGTCCAGCTTCCAGTGCGGCTCCCCAGGCTCCCCAGGCTCCTCACTGCAGAGTGGGCCTGCTGTGACTCATGGGCCAGAACCCCCAACCCCACCCTGCAGAGCACCTTCGGAGGAGGGAGGCGTGGCTGTGGGAAGAGGGCGTGGCCGTCACTAGAGCCTCCCTGAAGCAGCTCGTGTGTGTGACAAGGGAACTGAGGCTTGGAGACTGTAAATAACATGCACAGAACCTGAAACCTAGGCTAACCTGATGTCCCTGTCGTAGTGACCAAATTGGCCAGGCCACATTAGCATCAAAAAGAAATTTAAAAATTCACCCCCTCAGAACTGCATTTTGTTTGTTTTTTTTTTTTATTTTTATTTAAGGAGAAAAGAAAAGAAAGAAAAAAAAACAGTGAAGGGGTACAAGTTATACAGGTTTACAGAATAAAAAAATGCGCAGTAGGAAATCACTAGTTAATGGATTACATATTGCCATCTTAGAAATAATTGTTCAAGTCACAAAATTAAAGCTTGTAGAGTGGACATTCCAACAATGATACTGCAAACAGTTCTGTTCAATGATCCAATAAAACTCTGTGGTATCATTTTCTATCTTATACTTTTAAATATACATGCAGCAGAACTGCATTTTGTACTATTCTGGTAAATAGTGATTGGAAAACGCAACCACAGAGCGTATCCTTCGCTGTGGAGAATCCTGGAGGCCGCTAACCCACCACTGCCCTGTTGTGAATTTCACCAGTCTGCAAAGGACAGAGAAGGAACCAGAGACCAGGCACGGCCCCCCGCAGCTTCGGGCTGAGCTAGGCCCTCCTGACTCTGAAGTTCTTTCTTCTTTTGTCCACCAAATTCTGCTCTCTATTCTTCTGGAAGGATTGAGCTGACCGGTCAGCCAAGTCCTGATTTGATTACGTTAGGGAAACAATTTCTTTCTTTTTTAAGTACTTTTTTTTGAGACAGGGTCTCGCAGGCTGGCCTTGAGCTCACTTTGTAGCCCAGGCTGGTCTCGAACTCATAAGGATCCTCCTGCCCCAGCCTCCTGAGTGCTGAGATTACAGGCGTGAGCCACCACGCCCGGCTCTACTACTCTTGAATAATCATAACTAATGGAAAAGTAACCCAAGAGGAATCTTAGAGTAAATATGAACTACTATATTGAAATATTCCTGCTAAATTTGATTGGTTGATAGATTCATTGGTACTCAGAATTGAATCCCGGCTCTTTTCACCAAGCTACAGCTCCAGTTTTAAATTTTGGAACATGTAAATATTCAGATTTTTATTTTTTCTGAACTTCATTACATTCAGTGGTATTCATATTCAGTGGTGTCCACTTTTGAAACAGGGATTATCTTGATTCAAACCCAAAAGAGCAAGTTATCAAATATATCCATTATTCAGTAAAACACAAGCAGTTTGTTTTGTGCAAGGGTACATGTATTTAGATAATATGCTGGCCCTACGAGGAGTTCCTATTTTAGTGCTGACATGTAATTCTCTGCAGCATTACCATTGCTTTGACCAGCGCTGGCACAAGCCTGCCAGGCTCTGGGTTCTTCAGGACAGTGCTTTGCTAGAGGAGAGTTATCAGGGTCCGCCTCCAGGAAACTGGTGGGAGGCGAACTCTTTGGCCAAGCTAAGCCCTCTTTGACTTGCTTTCCAGTTGGGAAGGACGAGCTCAAACCAATCTAAAGCCAGGCAGGAAACTGAGAACTAGGAGCCTCAAATGCAGACATCAGGGGGCCACGAGGTCCAGACGCTCATGCTTTAAGTGCAGGCTGTGAGAAGAGGCCGCCGAGTGCAGACCCTGTCCACTGCATGCCAGGTGCTTCCTGGCCAGGTGTGCTTTGACCCAGATGCCAGACGTGGTTCAAGAGCTCAGCTAGGACCTGAGCCACCTGGAAAGTGGGCAGCAGTCAGAGCCCTGAATGGCGCTGCAGACCCACAACTCAGAATTGCTTGGGGTGGACCCCAGGGTCATCAGTTGAAAAACTCCCCCAAGTGGCCCTAAAACACAGCCAAGATGAAGCCAAGGCTGGAGAGGGGCCAACACCATGATGTTCAAGCCCGATTCCCCAAATTTATCCGGGTTGATGGTGAGGGGAGTCAGAACTCCTCCAACCCCCTGCTCAGTGGCAGCCTGAGTATCGCTGGGAAGCACCCCCAAGGTGTGCCAATGCCTGGGCCACCCCAGACCTGCACGCCAGAGCCTCTGCAACCTGGGCTGACTGGTCGTCAGCCAGAGTTCCAAGTTAGCCCAGACAGTGCCGTAAGAGGGCCGCAGAAAACAAGCCAGTAAGGGAGATGGAGGAAAGAAGATGAATAGGAAAGAGACCACCTGCTTCCTCGTCACACTGGCCATCTCGAGCACCGGCTCCCAGGTTTATGGAGAGAAACGCAGGAGGAGTAGGGACATTTTATGTGCTATGAAGCATGTGGAACACAAACATCGTCTGATCTTGTTGCAAGGTTGAGTTCAGTGTACTGCAGGGCCTGAGCAGCTGGAGCCCTCATTTCCCGATGGTGCCTGCCTGTGTTCCTTTGTGCCCCAGAAACCATGAGGAATGGGGGCCCTCGTCTACCCCTGCTAAGCCCGCAGCAGATGACCGGGAAGTGTGCGCCCCCTGTTGGTGATGATTTCTGCTCAGAGCTGCTGGGGATACCCTTGCTGGTCTGCAGTGTGGCCTCCAGGGGGCAGCATAGGCCGAGGCTCTCCAGGGCATCCACGCCCTTTCCACAGTTTGAACATCACCATCCCATCAGACACGGGTGCCTGAGACACGTCAGCATCACAATGACTCAGGACTATAGTCAGACTAAGTAGTGACGGTGTGGAACCCAGTGTAAGAAAGCCGGAAAGGTGCTTATAGAACATTATGAGAGAAATAGCTCATCCAAGATATGAAAGCATGACTCTCTTTGGGGTAAATTACAGACAGGCAAGGCTTCCATGGTGAGCTTTTCTTTGGCGTGGAGGAGCAGCAGGGATGCGCTGGTGTCCTGCTCTTCTGGCCCTCCTCGTCCTCGAGGCCATGGAAGGCGGCCGTGAATTCTGGCTGCAGGGAGGGGGACAGGAAGCAGCCAGCTGGAGAAGAGGCCCACGCGGTGGCTCACCGCTCGCACCCCACCTCCGGGGCGATGGTGAGACATGGCGTGTGTGGGAGTCTGTTTCTCCCTCAGACGGAAGATAAATGGGCGCGAGCTGAATCCTCACAGGGGAAAACCCGATGCCTTTTAATTTAGTTACAGCTTTTAAACTAAGGACCCTTGACACACAAACTTCTGCAGAACCTCAGTTTAAGAATGGGGAGCCTCTAATGTAAGTAATGATTCAAATACATAAAAGTATGTGGTAATCATGACTCCCCATTATGTGGCCTTGAAGCCTTATAAAGTTTTCACTTATTAATTGGAAAGGCTTTATTCTGGGCTTCTTGATATGGAAATATTTGAAGATATAGTATATGAAGTTATATTCAAGTATTTCAAGGAAAAAGACAGACACTATGGTAACTACTATTAAGTCGGGTTATTTGGTGGTGAAGCACTAGGTTGCTGAAACAGTCTGTATTGTTATGATAACAATACAGACCTGTATTGTTATGTTGTTATGTCCTCTTTTATCTCAATCTCTCCCTTATTTATTAAAAGTTATTTAGTTATTTTTTATGTTTTTTTAATTAAGGGGAAAAATTAAAAAAATTAGCTGGATATATTATAGTAACTTATTTGATTTCCTATTAACTTGATTTGAAGCCCTGTATTATTCCCACTATCTTATTTTGACTGATTAGACTCTGTTCCGTTCTGTATGATAGTATCAAGTTTGAGGGTATAGGCAACTACTTTGAAGGCAATAAGATTCACTAAGATGCCCATTCTGGTTTGACTATTATCTCCTTTGGAAGTCCTGTAATGTTTACAATGTTTAAGTTTTATTGGTCTTGTTCTCTACTGTTTTGTTCAACTTTATAATATCTAATGAGATAGACAATTCTTTTTAAGGAAGCAAGAGGCCTTATGGTAACCATTGTTGATAACCTTGTACTCTGTTTTTACATCATGTACTATGTCTATCCTTGGTTTTGATTGACAGCTTTGTTTTGCCATATTTGACTTTATTCTCTTCCAAAAAAAAAAAAAAAGTAATAAGAACTAAGGAGTAATAAAACCCAAAATGTGTAAGTTTTGTTGTAAAAAACAGAGGGAAAAAAAGTACTCTAAAGGATACAACTACAAGTGTGTTTAGGGGTGTTAAATAGCTGACCATATTAATATTTTTGGTTGGATCGTTGAACACAACTGTTTGCAGTCTCTCTGTTTGAATGTTTACTTTGTATGCTTTGATACTGTGACTTGAGCAACTATCTCTAAGATGATAATGTGTAATCTATTAACTGGTGATTTCTTTCTGTTTTTTTTTTGTAGTTCTGTATTACTTGTACCCTTACATGGCTTTGTTTTGTTTTATTTTTTCTCTTTTTCCTTTTAAATAAAATTAAAAAAAAAGAATGGGGAGCCTCTCTTCTCACTGAGGACAGTCATCCTGAGCTTGGCTTGTGCCTTGGTATGTCTGTGAGTCTCCTTGACACGGCTCCTGGGGCCGAGATGGTAAGGCCCCTTCAGCCGGGAGGTGAGGAGGGGGTCCGATCCGGTGCATTCAAACTTCGAGGCGGAGGGATGGGCACAGGGAGATCTTGGGGATCCCTGCAGACAGGCTGCTGACACCTCAGACAGCTCTGCTTCACCTCAGTATTGGGGGCACAAATACAGGGGCTGACTGTCAAAGACACGTTGCCACAAGTCCCCCTCAAAGTCCTTCCCTTCGCTTTGACCACACTTGTCCCATCCTCCTGACCACTTTCTGAAGCGGTTCAGCCACTGCTCCTTGGTGAATGCTCCTGCCAAGCGCCCTCCAGGGGAAAGGCAGCCTTGTAAAAACATGATGCTGTGACCTCACCCATCTTATTCATTGGATCTAGTACATACGGGTTCTGTTGCTTCATCAAAAGTCAAAATGACCATGAAAAGCAAATATTTTGAGTGGATTCAGGACATTGAGGCAGCTAGGACAGCACAATTAAAGACATACAGGAAAGAGGACTCCAGAGCTGCTGCAAAAAGTGGTGAAAAGAGTGGATCAGTGTGTCTGAGATAAGGGGGAGCACAGTGTTTCGAGGGGGCTTGATGACGTGTCTTTTAATGCAATCCGTGGAAAACCATTTAAACACTCGTTGTGTGTTTGGATCACACCAAGTAAGATGGAAAGGAAAGAAAACCCGCATGTTCTGTAGCCATGGAAAGGGACTCCATCCCATCTCCTCCTGGAAGCTGCAGATTTCTGCATGTCACGGAGGGTAAGTCTCCTTTTGAAGCCATCCTCTCTGCCTGCTGTAACCCGCAGCCTCCTGTTCTTCCTGGTCTTACCCTATTTTGTGACCCGCAGCATGCAAACCTTCGCATGTGGGAGGGAGTAGCCATCTCCAGCCAGCTGCAGCCGTCCTGGCTTCTGCCCAGCCCAAGTCTGGTTCAGCAGCAACAGCAGCGTGGCCATCTCTGGCAATGGCTGCCCATGACCAACTGCTCTTGAAGCTGAGTCTGTGTCAGAGGGGAAACCAGCACGTTGTCAGGGGCAACGGAATCCAGCGTGGCCACGGAATCCAGCGTGGCCACCTCCACCTGGAGCACCTGTCCTCTCAGCATAAGTGACCTGTGCCAAGAAATCCATCTGGACCCTTTGTCACTAATGCAATTGAAAATAAACTTGGGGGAGGGCTTGTAAGTGGAAGAAAATCGACTTTCATAGCAATCAGAGTCAGGCCCACGAGTGAGCTGCCTGAATCTGGGCTGCAGAGAAAAATCCAGGCTCGAAGCTGCAGTCATCTTCAGCTGCAGATGAGACAGCTGCACACAGGCTCCTACATGCTCTTATTCAACACACACCAACCCCTGTGCTGCAAAAGGAGAGTTACCTTGGAAATGGAAAAGCTTTTTCCTGTAAACTGCTCAGAATCTCCACTTTTGAGTGCAAATGACTGAAATAATTTGTCTCAGGAAGAAAGTTGATTTTTAAAAATATTTGCACCCCCTCCCCCCACTTAAACTAAGGACTATATTTAACTAGGGACAACTGAAGGGTGTTTTTCCAAAACAAGCTGCTTAGCAGATGGCTTGACAGCTGCTTGTGTTGTTTCTAAATGCACACTTGGCTGAAAGACTAAGGACACAGTTACCTTTAGGAGATGCTTTTTATTGGATGCATGTTTTCCCCCCAAAGAATTGGTAACTTTCTATACAAAAATACCAGAGAATATACCAGTACAGATGGAGATGTCAGCTGGCCTTAGGAGCTACCTGGAGGTGGGGGTCACAGCCCCTCTGCATGCTTGATGACCTTCCACCTGTCTGCTTCCTGCAGACATCGCACAACTATGAGATGCTCTAGTTTTAGGCTTGAGAAGAGTTTGCAAAGCCTCTGACGCCTCTGACACCTCTGACACCTGAGCCCCAAGTGGGCCTCACCTTTGGTGTTTTCTCACCTAGATATTGCTCTGAGCTGCTCCCAAATTGAAAAACAGTCATTCATGCAGCAGTAGCAGCAGCAACAAAATATTGTCACCCTCTCTCTGAAATGAATAAATTTTAGTGTGTGGGAAGTTTGTCTGAGGAGGCATCTGTAGAAGGCACCTAGAACCCCATGCTCAGCCAGAAACAGGGAGCTGGGTAAAGTTTGTGGCTTTGCAGCTCAAGGTGACTGGTTTCCAAATGAATGTCACTTCCCCCCTTTGCCTGTCAATGGTTAAACCCAGAAAGCTGGTGCCTCCTTCCTTCCTTCTGCACAGAGTCTCTGTCCCCAGAGCTGCTCTTTCTGCAGTGGAGCCTCCCAGCTCCAGGGTGTGGAGTTCTGCATTTGAAGTCTTAGAGCTCACAGTGGTCTACATGGTGGCCCAGGATCCCTCGTGCATAAATCTAGAGGGTCAAAGCCTCCTGGGGGCAAGCGCTGGTACTGGATGGAGTGTGGGGCAACAGGGGTGCTCAATGAGACAGTTCCAACCCCCCGCTCCGTGTCCCCTCCTGCATCCAAGCTCATTTCCTTACATCAAGCCCTCATTTCTTGCCCTAAAATCTCCATCTCTTTTCATGTTTTACGACTCTTCCAGGCCTTCTGTCTGCTTGAAGCCAGGGGCACTCCCTTGTTCCTCTGGGCTGCACACTTCAGCCAAATTCAGCCCAAGTTGCACTGACTCAACACCCTAATAGCAGGACCAGGAAACCACCCTCACCCTAGCCTTACTGTGTCTGGTCTCCTTGTCCCAAATGCTTATCTTTCTTTGTCTTCCACTGGCCACGAAATGAAACTTCTGCCAGGCCATGCTGGCTAGGTTCTCCCTGCTCTGCCATGACTCTCCTGGAGCAACAGAGGCCTCCACCTTGTCCAGCTCGTCCTTCTGCCTCAGGGACAGCCATCTGCCTTGTCAGGACCAAGCCTGCTGTGCTGTCCAGCAGCCTGAAGCAGGGCTTCTCCTCCTCCACTGATACAATCCCGCTCCCCTCTTCCTGAGAAGTGCTCCCAGCCTTGCCAGGACACAGAGCACCCATCTGGCTCTGCAGGTCTGTGGAACCTGCTGTCCATACCTTGGAGCAAAATCACAGCTGAGACCTGCTGAGTTTCAACTACTTACATCCTATCCTCCCTCCCCGGGTAAGACAAAGACTTCCATCATACACACTGACGGCCTGTGGACTGCCTTGCACAAGGTGAGAACCTGTGAAATGTTCCTCAATGAGCTTAGTTATTTCTGTTCTGATAGCTGACCTCAAGGACCAGCAGTTCTCGGAGGGCATTTTGATGGTGAACTCTTGCCCCAAAGGAAGAGCTGACCAGTAACTTGGTGAAGGTAAGCAGAGGGGAACCGAGGTCTCACTTTCATCAGCAGACTTTGATACAGCTTTCTAGAGTTGCTGGATTTATAAGCTCCCATAGACTCAAATGGATGGATATTAGCCTCCCTGTGACAGTAACTTCCTGTTCCAAAGAGCCACCCTCACCCCCAATTGTGCATAAAAACTGAATCCCATCCACACCTCAGACCGGCTCACAAACCCACAGAGACCTCGTGTTCTGCAGTGGACCGGGTGTAAACAGAGCTGCTGTGCTCCTGGGCGTCTTTCTGGAAGATGGGGCAGCGTTTGCACAAGCGCCTGGCCACCTGCTTTCTGAAGAAGGCCTTGAGGTACCCGCGGAACTTCTCCCCGACGAAGGCATAGATGATGGGGTTCACGCAGCAGTGCGTCATCCCCAGGGTCTCCGTCACCTGACTGGCCTGGTCCAGCTTGTTAGAGCTGCTGCAGTTGTTGAGGACCACGGGATTAGAGAAGGTTCCCAGGAGGAGCACAATGTTGTGGGGTGCCCAGAAGAGGAAGTAGCCGATTATGATGGCAAAGATGAGCCTCACTGCCTTGTGCCTCCTCCTCTCATTCCTGCAGCGCAGCAGGGTCCGCAGGATGCAGGAGTAGCAGATGACCATGACCAGCAGGGGCAGCACCAGTCCCAAGAGGACCATCTTTAGGGTCTGAAAATTCTTCCAGAAATAATATTGGTGGATGGGGAAATAGGGACTGCACGTGTAAAGCAAGGCTTTTTTTTGTGATCTGATGAAGATGATTCCCGGGAAAGCAGCAAACACAGCCACCACCCAGGTGACCCCGCTGGTCATCACCCCAAAGGTGACTGTCCTGGCTTTCAGAGCAAACACAGCATGGACAATGGCCAGGTACCTATCGATGGTCAGGAGGATGATGAAGAAGATCCCTCCAAAATAGCCGATCTGGTAGAACCCCGTGAGGGCTTTGCACATCACATCTCCAAAGACCCAGCTGTGGGCAGCAGCATAGTGAGCCCAGAATGGGAGCGTGAGGAGGAGGAGCAGGTCAGAGATAGCCAGGTTGAGCAGGTAGATGTCGGTCATGCTCTTCAGCCGTTTGCAGGTGATCAGTATGAGGATGACCAGGATGTTGCCCACGGAACCAAAGATGACCACCAGCGCATAGAGTGGGGGCAGGAGCTGGGCTGCCATTTCTTTCACTGTGTCTTTTTGGCAGGGTTCTGCTGAGTCATAATCGAAGTCAGTGACAGGACTCATCGTTGAGTCCTCCATCTCGCTGTTCTCTGTGGATAAAGAAAAAGCCGTGTTTTCCCGTGCTATGCACACACTGAGTGCTGTGCTGTGGACGCGAAGGTGTACACCTTAGCACACCTTTAACTTAACAGGCAGATTTCCATACTTACTGGAGGTCCCTCTGTGGTCCCCAAAGTGAACTTCTATAGTGAAAGAAAGGTTTTCTGGCAGCTTCCCAGATTCCCAGCTAGAATTTAAATTGAGGAAGGCCCCTCAAGTCAACTCTTCGTTTTCTATGACCCTGAGGGTTCGTCGACGCTATGATAACAATTTTGAGAAACTGAGGCAGACCTGGTGCCACTCACAGTATTTTTGTCCCCATCAGAGCCACCCTGGCTGAAGTTAGCCACAAAAACCAAGTGCCACGAATGAGCCAGAAAGCACAAGAACAGGTCCAAGGCTCTGGGTGGCAACCGCCATCCCAAGCTTCCAGTCTGTTTATCCATTTCACCCTCAAGATGACTTTCATACCATTCAAGTTTTCCAGATGCAGACACCGGAGCACAGGGAAAACAAGAGGATGAGTGCCCTGCCCAAAGCTGCACCACAGGGAAGTAACTGGTGTGGAAGCAAGCAACCCACAGCCTTCCATGCTCCCTGGGTTGCGGCCCCCTGTAAAAGAACCTGGCAGCCCAGGGCCTTAGTGTTACTGGGAGGAAATGAGCTGAAGCCTGGTCCCCCGAGAAGGTTAGAACAGCCAATGCCAATCCTGAAACCCACACTGCCACCCGTGCGTGCTGTCTGGGGCTTGTGCTTGAGTCACAGGGATCAAGAGAGAAGCCTTCTTCCTCTGCCCCTGGCAAACATCCTACATCCTGGGCTGCACAGCCTTCACTGCCACCTGGCTCCCTGCTTCCACGAGAGCTCCAGGGATCCCGCTGGGCGATTTCTCCTTTGTCTAAGTCCCCAGATGCCCAAGGGGTTAGATTAGGCACCTGGGAGAAGCGCCCAGAAATGCTGCAGAGCTGACATATTACAGGGAGGTGTTATCTGATGGCTGTAATTCAGTATCACTTTGTACAGTTTGCACTCCCTTGGGAAAAAACCGACACACCACATCTGGCAGAGACAGGCCAAGAGGCACCCTTGGTGAGGTTTCAGTTCCCCTTAGCTGGAGAGGATCCCAGCTGAGATTGCAGCCACGGCTCCTCTGCCTGGGACATTCCTCTGAGAGGCGAGGGCCGCTGGTTTTTAAAAAACCACATCGTCCCCCCAGATCTCCATCGGTCTTTGTGTCTGTGATGGTATCAGACTCTGAAACTCGCTCTGAATCCTGGCCCCTTCCCTGATCTGAGAGATTCTATTGTAAGATAGCTCTGTGAGTCCCTGGCTCGGCTGGAGGTCTGCTCAGGGTTTCCTGTGAAAGCATTTGCTCATTGCAGAAGCTGCGCTGACAAGCAGACCCAGAGGCTGCGAGCTGACTTACCAGGCAGAGTTCCTCGCAGTGCAAGCGGATGTCTCAGCTCCTCTGCCCAGCTCTGCTGTGTGATTCAAACTTATAGACAGGGTAAAGTAGGAAACACAGTTTCTTTTGAAGGGGGTGGAGTTTAATGAATAAGTGCATTGCAGGGGCAAGAAAGCAGAGAACAATTCTCCTTCTTCTTTTTTTAAAGTTGCATTTAAAGTAAGCTCGAAGAGAAAGCGCTAGCCCAAAAGTTTATTCATGGGCTTTTCTTCTTAGCTGATTTCACTTTTGCTGTCTGTTCATCCAACGACACAGTGTGTGCTGGAGACTGAAAAGAATGAGAGGAAATTAGGGCTAGAAAAACGCTCCTGTCATCCAGGCAAAAGCCCACCTTTGAATAAAAGAGATTGCTCTCCAAGAGGTAAATGGTTTGCACAAGACCTTGGGGCTTCCTGGTGGCGAGATAAAGAAGGTAGGTATATCCCAGGTGTCACCCTTAACTGAAGCCAGCCTTCAATTCTGAGGGGAACTTTCTTCTTAGCATCAAACTTGTGCCCCCTTTTACGCATCCCCCACAGCACTCACACACATGTGCTCACCCCAATTCTATTATAGTTTGTGAACTGCAGTGGCTGCTGTAGAAGAGGCTTAACTACTGGTTCACTGTGACCTGTTGGGGGCTGGGGTGTGTGATGGTTTTCTCCACCATCAGGTCAAGCTCTTGTGGTAGATGATTGGCCCCAAATCCTCAGTTGCTGACAGCAGAGCACTGGAGCCTCTGGGCTTCTACCACTTCAGCTAATATAATAGTGAGAAGCTTTGGCCCAGGACCAACAGGAAGGCAAAGGAGAGCCAAACTTATACGCCCCCTGCCTATGGAGGTGGCTCAGCACCTGGCCCATGCAGTGGCCTCGGTAGTGAGACCTCCAGGCTGAGTGCCACCTTGACCTCAGTTTCCCAGCTGTGGCTTTGTGGGGAGGCCCAGGGAGTGACAGCCTGTTGCTGCCTGCAACTCCATCTTGCTGTATTCCTGTTTCCTGCCTCACGATCAGGGTGTGGCCTTTTCTCCGCACCCCTCAGCCGTCAGAGTGGGCTGTCTCTGGTCGTCTACTCTGGGCAACAGCTGACGGTAGAACTCAGGAGGGGGTAGGGGGGGCAGGGCTGACTTCTGTGGGGCGCTCCCAATCCGGTCCTCATATGAGCATCCCTTCCTTCCCCTGGGGCCTCGGAAAGGGGAAGATACGCGGAAGCTCTGCCCCTTCTGGGTCTCTGACATCCTCAGAGAGACCTCTTGTCTCTTGGGCGTTGGCTTCTAGCCAGGCCCGAGCTCAGGAACAGTGAGAGGTCCCCATGCTGGTGACACACAGTGCATCATAGCGGATGCATGGCTCTCACTCCAAGACCCACTCTGCAGAGAGTTTATACTAGCAGCAAAATTGAAGAAGATGTTTGTGTTTTTTTTTTTTTTTTTCTAACAAGATTGGTTCCCCAGAGTCCTTGTCTGGAGCAGATTAAGTGCAGCGCCCCAAAAAGGGGAAGCATTGGCTGGCACTTGGAGGACAGAGGAGAATGACTGTTCAAGACAGCCAGAAAGGCAGGGACACATCCAGCAGCAGAGGTGAACACACTGCCCTGAGAGGCAAGGTCAGTGATGCTGAGCTGAATCACCAGAGAAACACCCAGTTCTTCCCGGAGCAGCCCCCGGGGCCATGAGGAAAGCGTAGTCAAGCCTCCAGTTTCGTGTATTATTCACCACTTCACTTGATTCGTAACAATGTGCTTGCTGAGTCTGTCTTTACCTTATCTGGAAAATGGGGTTTAGAAAACTCAAAAGCAAACCCACCTGTGGTCAGGTCAATGATCTAACCAGCGAGGAGCCTTCCGGTCCGGGTCTCGGGTGGTCCTTTGAGCCGAGAACTCTCCCTGGAGTTTTCGGAAGACTTCACAATCTGGCTGCACACAAGCTAATGTGAAACTCGACAGCAAAGGCACAGACTCGAGTTTGGTTCTTTTGCATCCACTCAGGAACTCGAGGACACTGCTGAGCGAGCACCGAAATCCTGTTTGTGATCATGGTCAGTCCTCACGGTCTGTCCCTGTGCAGACCCGGGGTTCTGCCTGTGCCCTGTGTGTGGCTCTCCCCAGGGGGTGTTGAGGTTGTGACACATGCTCACTCCTAGAGGGCAGTGTGGAGCAGCACCGCGGTGGGGGGGGGCAGCTCTGAGTTACTCAGGAGGTGCCTGGAGTTGTGACCTGGGCGAGGAGCTTGCCCTCTCTGGGCATCTGGGGAGTGTCCAGGTTGCCAGGGGCTGGGGCAGAGCCTATTGGAGGTGGCCCCTGACTGGGTGTCATTTGGGAAGTGTGCGCCCTGGGTAGGATGCACTGGGCACACCACCCAGAGACACACACCAGGAGACCATCTTTTGCTCACTCTGTTGCTTCAGACTTGATACCCCCGTGGGCAGGTGTCTCATGCCACCCTCCTTTGGGGCACTGGCCGGCTCTCACTTGTCCCTGTGCCCATCTCCTGGGGCCCATTTTGCTGTTGTTCCCCACGAACAGCACTGGAGCAAGTGCTCGAGGCATCAGTAACAAGAAGTGCAGAGCGCTGGCCCGTCCTGTGAGCTCAGGGAACAGCTGAGGACCTCGAGAGCATCCTGAGCCACAGCAGCTTTGGAAAAGACCTGGGCTCCAGCAGGGCTGGATCGGCTCCACTCCACCCCGAGGGAGGCTGTAAACACCGCCACAGATCTTTGGTTTTTAACAGCGAGTGTCTAGTTTGAAGACCAACATGTGCCTGCTGTGGGAAGTGGGAGGACAGAGGTGGGCAGGTTTTCGCTGTCTCTAACCACCGCCTTTCAGCCCTCACCTTTCCCGTGCTCGATTCTGGAGTTCTCCATACGCTGCTGCTTGTTAGTCTTTCCTGGCTTCAGATTGCAACGTGGGCACTTCCCCGCGCTATTAAAATTCTTCAACAACGCAGTCCCTTCACGGAGGCCACACAGCAGTAGGGCGCAAGCAGTGGTCTGGAGAGCATCATCTGTGTGCAGCCCTGGACGCTCCGCCCACATCGAGGTGATGAGCATCTCCCCCGCATCTGGGAGGTGACAGGGAGGTCAAGTCCGCTCTGACTTCATAGATTTAGTGCAGGTGTTTTTAGATTTTCCCTAAGGGAATCACAGCTGCTGCCTTGACTTCTTCCATTCACGTCGCTCCATTAACCGTATTAACAGAGCCGGAAGAGCCAGGCTCTTTCTTTTTTTGCACTCAAACACAAACAGCACCACACTGATTGTTCCCGTCAGCACTATGACGTCCCTTCAGTGTCCCCAAAGCCACCTTTGCCAGGAAAGCCTGAGATTCCGAAGACCCACTCAGGACAAACCCCTCAACCCCACCCAGTGTCAACCCTCGTCAGCTGGATCCCTCACAAGTGACACAGGTCCCTGAGTCCCGAGTCCCTGGTGGAGTCGGAGCCTTCACTTCCACCTGGGAATCTGCTAACAGGGGTGGCTGTGTGGTCACGTGCTGTTTCTCTGCCTTTATCTGTGTCCTCCTCCTCTCACTGGCTCCCCACCTTGGGCCACTGCCTTCCTGGGCACAGTATCAAAGCGGGGAGGCGCTGCAGTCTCTGCTCCCTCACCTCAGTAGGTCTGTCTGTCTGCATCGTGGAGGACTCTTACCTTGGCTCACACGCCAGCCCTGTGCGTTCCAGAGATTTCTTTCAGATTGGTGCCCAGATCCAGGCTAATGCAAGTCAGGAGCAGTGACCCAGTCCAATGTCCTGACTAAAGTGTTGGATGGACACACTGTCCTCTGAAGCCAGGCCCCCTCTTTATATGAGCAGCATGTGTTCAGCTCCGTGCACACAGGAAGCCATGTGCAGCTAGGGCTTGAGGCCCAGCACAGAGAAGTAAGTGCCCCAGCTTCCAAGGAAAGCCACCAGCACCGGGCCGGGGCCCACACAGAGGTAAGGAACCAGCCTTGGACTCCCCATTGTGTGCTGCCCCCCCACCCAGGCTGCAGGGGCTGTTAGGGAGGCAAGGGCTGAAGGCAGGGTGGGAGCAGAGAGGGGTCCCTCTGCCAGGAGCCAGGGTGAGGCATGAGGACTGGCCAAAGGGGTCCCCAGGAGGCAGCAGGCCAGGTGCACAGTGTCAAGGACGGGACAAGGTGTGGGAGGAGACAGGCATGGTTGGTGAGGCAGGTAGCGAGTCCCCAAAGATGCGTATGCCTCGGGGTGGCACCCAGGAATGGTGGACATCCAGCCAGAGAGAGATCTTGCAGTCTAAGTAGTGTTCAGGAGCCCTGCCAGCTCCTGGATGATGGCTCAGTGTTGGGGACAAGGGCAGTGTCCTCCTCCTAACCCTCTCTTCTTCACCCCAGCCCATGCCCAAGGGATGAGTGAGGCGAGGAGCACAGGATGTACCCGCCTCTCAGCACAATCTCCAGACCCAAAGGAGACTGGCTGTCAAGGTCACAGTTTCACAGAGACCCACCAGACAAGGCCCTCTTCAGTGTCCGGCCACTGTGGCTTGATGACACCAGGCCTTGTGTTAGCTGCTGCTTACACACACACACACACACACACACACACACACACACACACTTTCTGAAAGTGCAAACACAGAGCCCAAGTATCTATGTCTGAAGCAATATTTCCAGCCTCCTTCCTTCCCCAAACCTGGGGGCAACCTCCTTCTCCAGGTCCCGAGCTGCCTGGGAGAGGCTCATTGGTAGCTGGATTCCTTCCTCCTTTGTATCCTGTGTGGCCCTGGTGATCTCTCTTGCCTGCCTGGTGCACCTGGAGCCACTGTAATGAGGCAGGGAAGCTTAAACCATGAGCAAAAGCAAAAGAGGAAGGACGGGCGTTGAGGGCATTTCCTTGGCTTCTCTGCAAATGCCCTGCCCTCTGCAAGAGGCTTTGGGCATCTCATCCAGGAGGCTGGCCCTTGTGGGCCACCACCAAACAGTCAGACATCTATCCCTCGAGGTCCTGGCATCCCCCTACCTCCCTCAAACTGCAGGACCCAAGTTCTCCCCAGAAGGAGACCCCAGGGTTCACCTCTAGGAATGGACGTAGCAGTAACCTTTGTAGGGTGGTTTCTCCAGGGCCACTAAATCCTGCTGTGGCTGTGATTGTCTTCTGATGCAGGGTGGTCTGGACGCAGCCACTGTTCTTCTGCTTTGCTCCTGAGCACTGCACAGTGGCTGTCAGCTTGTCCCCCACCCTCCAACAACAGGTGGGGACAAGAGGTGTAATGGGCAGGCACAGGCATCAGCAGACACATTTACCTCCCTGACCCAGCCTGGCAAGGGGCAGAGCCCTGGGTGTTGTCATACTGGACTCCATGAGGGACCCAAATAGCAGCGCCCAATTTGACTTATGGAGCCACCATATGCTGTGTGTCAATCAGGCTAACCAATCCCCAAACTACGGGGCTCATGGTTACAAACATGGACTTCATGTTCCCAGGATCTGGGCTGGGCCCGTGGTTGGCTCCCCCAACCCCTGTGTTCTGTGCTCCCCAGGGTGCGGGGCCCAGGGTTTGAGGAGGACCAGCCCTTGGGTGGCTGAGAGGAGGCTCGGCACAGTCACACCAGGTCTCTCCTAGGATGAGGCTGTTGTCACCTGTGCTCCAAACCCCATGCATCCACTTAGGATTAGGTTTAGGGCTGGGGTCCTGTCAGGGGACCCCAGCTCACACCACGAAGTCAGCTGTGTGTAATCACCACGAGGAAAACACAAAATGTCGTGAACACAACACATGACCACACCACAGTAGAGGAGGTGACCGTCTTTTAATCTTCAAAATGATGTGATTAGAGCATGCGTTTATTTTCCAAAGCATCACTTTTAAAAACAATATCTACATTTCACCATCAATACGTAATGGCATGCCTTTCTAGGTGACACTTTTCCTGGTCCCTGTTTTTTCCTGAAACCATCTCCAGCCAATGGCAAAAGAGTCAAACCACAGAAACCTCCAGCTCCCATAGCGCCTTCGCCAGGCCCACAGGGTCTGGTCTGCATCAGACCAGAACCCACCAGGTAGCAGGTGAGAGCATCTTGAGCTCTCCCACCCTCTTTCTAACAGACTACCAGGGGCTGACTGGTCCAGGACTTCCTGCTGTCCACCCGGGGACGAGGTCCACTAAAGCACAGAAACACCGGGATAGGATTAAATCATGGCTCCCTAATGACAGAGAAAAGGTATTTGGGAATGAGTGTGAGAGGATAAAGCCACATGGAGGCGGTGTCCAGGAGGTGTGTGCTGTGATCCCAATAATATTCCTGTGTGGATGCGGCATGGCGCCTGGCCACCAAGCCCACAGACCCCCGGAGCTGTTCCTGTCCCCCTCGGCAGCCTCCTGAGCCCACGATGGGCTCCATGCTTCCTTGCTCAAGGCCACAACTGTCACCGTGGCTCCACAGCACTTTCAGGCTTGGTGTGATGGTGGTGCTGAAAATAACACTTCGTCCTATTGGCTATTTGCTGCTTTCAGCTTCAATTTTACTTCTCCTGATTTTTTATAAACACCCAAGCTCTGGGCCTAAATCAGGCTCCGGAAGGTGGTCCGGGAAACCTTCCTCCCCAGAGTGTTTAGAATCATGCTGGTCTAGTTCCCCCAGCCTGGCAATGGAGGTGCAGCGCACTGCAGGTGAGATGTGTGACTTTCAAAGCAGTGGCCTCTGTCACCTGTGTCCTCAGGCTCCTGAGGACATGGCCCAGGCCCCCAGGGATGGCGTGTTCCTTCTGGTGACCATGCAGGGGCTGAGGGGTGGGGGTGGCTTCTTTCACAGGTAAGCTACCTGGTTGTCATGGATGAATCATAATAAAGCAAAAATGTGCCTTGTACTCTTACATAAGAGACCCTCAGATGCAACCCAGGCTCCCCCAGAATGATTGAATTTGCACCGTTTCCTTGACTGGTGAAGTGTTCCAAGGCACGCAGAGGTGGGAGACAGGCCAAGGGCTGGGACCACTTCTTTGCTCACTGCCATCTCCACTCAGGCCCATACCTGTCCCTGTCTCCTCCCCACACACAGCCTGGATGCTGGGACCCTCATCCCGGACCATCCCAGGCCTGTCCCACTCCACACCCCACCTTCAGGGGAGCCTTTGGTTAATCAGAGAATGAAAGGGTGAAGTTTGGAAATAGCATTAGCCCAAGCTGAGGAAGCATTGTTCTCTGGAAACAGAGATGAGCTTGCTGGAGAGTCCAGGTCTCTACAATAGTTGTTCTGGAATATTCTGGAATATTCCCTCTCTACATGTATAGTGAGGTGAGTCTATCCAGGCACAGTCCTGAGGCTCCTGGGCACCTCATTCCCAGGTCCCTGGTCACTGAAAAACTCAGGCTTGTTCTCACGTACAGAAGGCCATCTTTCCTGGAACAGGCCAGGCCACCTGTGGCTCCAGTTACAAGCCGACTGAGACGTCCTGCTCCCCCGTGGATGGGGTATAGGTGGAGCTCGCACGGTCTACTGTCTCCCGGTAGAGGACCGGGCACTGTCTGCAGAAGCGCTTCACAACTTGCTTTCGGAAGAAGGACACGAGGTACCTGCGGAACTTCTCCCCAACGAAGGCGTAGATGATGGGGTTCACGCAGCAGTGCGTCATCCCCAGGGTCTCCGTCAATTGTAGGGCCCGATCCAGCTGGCTGGTGTTCTCACAGCTGCTCAGCCCAAAGAACACCTGAAAGGTGTCCAGGATGAGCACGATGTTGTGGGGTGCCCAGAAGAGGAAGTAGCCAATCATGATGGCGAAGATGAGCCTCACTGCCTTGTGCTTCCTTTTCTCATTCCTGCAGCGCAGCAGGGTCCGCAGGATGCAGGAGTAGCAGATGACCATGACCAGCAGGGGCAGCACCAGTCCCAAGAGGTTCCTCATGATGGTGTGGAAATTCTTCCACATGCGTGGGAAATGGGGCCCACAGGTGTCAAAACTGTGCTCCACATCCTTTTGTGATCTGATGAAGATGATTCCCGGGAGGGCAGCAAACACAGCCACCAGCCAGGTGACCCCACTGGTCATCACCCCGAAGGTGACCGTCCTGGCTTTCAGAGCAAACACAGCATGGACGATGGCCAGGTACCTATCGATGGTCAGGAGGATGATGAAGAAGATCCCTCCAAAATAGCCGATCTGGTAGAGCCCCGTGAGGGCTTTGCACATCGCATCTCCAAAGACCCAGCTGTTGGTAGCAACATAGTGAGCCCAGAACGGGAGCGTGAGGAGGAGGAGCAGGTCAGAGATAGCCAGGTTGAGCAGGTAGATGTCGGTCATGCTCTTCAGCCGTTTGCAGGTGATCAGTATGAGGATGACCAGGATGTTGCCCACGGAGCCAAAGATGACCACCAGCGCATAGAGCAGGGGCAGGAACTGGGCTGCCATGTGCTGCACACTGGTTTTCTTGCAGGGTACAGCAACTTCATAGTCATAGCTGGTGGTGACTTCTTCTGCATCTCTTAGAAACAATGAACCAGGCATGCTGGTGACGAGCTGGGACAACAGGTCCTTGTTTTCCATGGCCATCTGTTTTGGAAACAGAGAGAGAAATGATGGGCGCACAGCCTAAATGCCTCATCCCAACCCAGATGCAAATCAGCCACTCCACCCACGCAGCCCAGCTCTCTCCTTTGCGGTGTCTCCTGGAAGCGGTGCTGCCTGTGTTTCCGTGGGGCAGGCTCCAGCTGTCTACCCAGCAACCTTTCAGTGGCCTGCTCTGCATTCCCTGGGAGCATGGTTCCCATAACCTGGCTGACAAGGCCAGGTAGTGTTCTCTGCTTATTTCGTGGGTGCTGGGCAGCTTGTCACTGTCCTTGCACAAACACGTGTACTTCGAGTCTGCAAGGGGAACTTCCAGGAAGGTTCTTCCCTCACCAAGATCCCTGCCTGGCTCTTTCCCTTTTGAAGCTTGGCTCCTGTGGGTTCCAAAGACCCAGAGAGTCAGAGAGAAGTTCACACAGTCCTAGCAATGCAGATTCCCAGGCCCACCCTTGAACTGCTCATTGCCTGGCTTATTAGTTGAGAATACTGAGCCATCCTGAGTTGTATTTCCTGTTCCTTGCAGCCGCAAGCATTGTGAGAACCCCCTCAGGTTTCTGTCTCCATCTCTGGCCCAGGGCTGGTCTGCCGCAGCTGAGGCTGCAGGGACCACGTGGTGTTCAGACACCTTGGCCTCGCCTGAGCTCCGCCTTCCCTGAGCAGTGGCTCACTGCCTTCCTTTAGAAGCCCTTGGTTTCTAGGAGGAAGCACCTCTGACCACTTCTCACTGGCGGTCTTCCTTGGCATCTCGCTCGTCCCTCTGCCCTCAGTGTAACGGTGTCCAGGTGGTTCCTGCAGCTATCACCTCTGTTACCTTTGCCCCTTCATTCTCACTGCAGATCTCCACAGTCACATCAGCTCGTCTTGGGGCCTGGCCCCCTGCACTCGGGGGCCGCCCACCCGCCTGGAGCTGTCTCCAGGCCCCACCCGTCTCCTGATCTCACAGTTGCATCTGTGTGTTTCTCCGTGGACTAATCCATGCGTTGTGATCCACAGGGACCACAGTGAGCAAGGTAGGCCCCTTCAGGAACCCCTCAGAGTTCTCCCCGCCCCTGCAAAGCACCCTTTCTCTTAGTGGTTGTCATTAGACGGCACTGCCTGGGAGCAAGCCTGGGAACTTCCCTGCTCCCTTCCTCCTTGGGACATGAGACCCCAGAGCTGAATCTGAATCTGGCTTCCACATCAAGCTGCGTCACCTGAGGCCAGTGGACTCCCACAGCTCTCTGCTCCTTTCTGCATAAAGCAGCTCTGCGCAGTTACCGAGATAAGGCTCAAACCAGGCCCCCCAGGGGGCGGAGAGGGAAGCCCCTCTGCAGTTACTGGGTCCCCTGAGCACCGTGCCGCTCCTCTGCGAACTTCAGCTGCCAGTGCCTTCTGGTCTGCCCCACCTTTCTTGCTGTGTCCTTATTTCCTCGTGGTTGGCTGGTCCCTCGCTCCACATGTCACTGGCTGGCGGCTAAGACTGGACTGTGGCTTGTCAATCTGACCTCTCCAGCAACCCCTGTGGCTTGTGTGACAGGGCCCCAGAGACAATGACCAGCTGCTCACTGAGGCATTTCTGGGCTCACCTGTCAGGTTCCTCTCTGACCACTTCTCAGCTCCTGACCCTGTGTCTCGCCTGCAGTGGTCTTCTCTCCTTCCCCTGTCTCACTGTTCCCTTTATGCTGCATTGGTTTTGCATATACTTGTCCCTCTGCCTAAAATAGCCAGTGAGCTCCTATTCATCCTTCAACACCTCCTGCTCAGATTCCTCTTCTCTGTGAAGACGCATCTGCATTCTCATCAAGTAGCACCTCCCTGGATCAGCGCACAACTTTCTAATCACAGTTACCCTTGTTGTGACACCTGACATCAAGAGGCCTTGGGTGCTACCCTCACCAGGTGTTTTTGCCCCCGCAGTGACAGTGAACTTGCTCTTATCAGGAGCAGCTTTCTCCTCTCATCTTTCTGATGATTGGCACGGTTCACAGGTCTTGCACCTCACAGGACTCCACCAGTGCCGAACAGGAACTGAACCCGTGGATGTGACCTCCGGTAGAAAAAACGGTGGCCACCCACAGCCCTTGACTGTGAGCCTCCTTGAGAGCGGCTGGAGCCAGGTGCGACCTCAGACAGTGCCCACAGGCAGCAGCAGGGCCGGCACCTGTGCAGCAGGCAGGCAGCAGAGGCAGTCACCTGCTGGCCCAGATGGCTGCGTTTGACGCTGCACCCTGAGAGGATGCTGCCTGCCGCGCGGAGAAAAGGTCGCTCTTACCTCCTCTGCTGAGCCCCTGGGTACAGGCGCAGGCACGTTTTGGGTGGGCCGGGCCATAGATGTGAAGGCAGAAGGCTCCAGCTCCTCCAAGCCCGTCTGCTTGGGGAGGCAGAGTGAGCGGAGTGCCTGTGCCTGGTGCTGCTCTCGCCTTCTGTCTCCTGTGTCTCCCTCAGCCCCAGGGAAGGTTTCGCCCTGCCACACCCTGTTCTGCCCTCACTGTCACCAGGGTCTTTCCCACAGCTCAGGGTGCACCTGAACCTCCCCTGCCTGCCCTCTGGCTCTCTCTCTCAGGCTCAGGTCCTTGCCTGCAGCTCAGCTTGGGCTCCCGAACCCCTTAAGTCTGCAAAATTAGGGTGCCACTCACCCCCAGGTGGTTCCTTCCAGGTGGCCCTGCCCTGTCAGGCTTCTCGGCAGCGGAACCAGGCAGCTATGGGAGTAGGCACTTGGTGTGCAGAAGTAGGAAATCAAGCTTCCTGCAGAGAGAGAAGGCGGAGATATAGGGTGAGAGATGGTAAAGATTTGAAAAAAAAAAAACATCACAAAGATGTAGTTCTTCTTTCTCCAGCCAGGAACGGGTGCAGTGGGTTAAGGTCTCCCTGGAGGATTCATTTTGAAATCTTGCTTGTGCAACCCTGAGTGTGAGTCAGGCCCTCCCAACACACACATCTGCTCCTACATCTAAAGGACCTGGGACTCCTGGGCTGAGTCTGTCTTTGGGCTCCTCCACTATCTGCTTCTCCTCCCCATGACAGTTTGCCTGACACAAACTCGAGAGGACTGACGGATTTCCAGAGGAGAAACCCCAGAGGAGGTCGATGGATGTGGAGGTGGAGGTGGAGGAGCTAGGATGTGGTCTTGCTGGAACTGTGTTCTCTGGTTCCAGTGCTGGTGTGGACCTGGGATCTGGTTAGAAAGTTTGGTTAGAGAAAACTTCCTAGTGGAGGGGAAGCTAGGAGGGCTTGGTGTCAGGGATGTCCATGGCGGTTACAGGTCTCATGCCACTGAAAGAAGCTTTGTGAAAACAAAACTTCCTGACCACGTAGGCCCCAGCCGCTAGAGCATCCTTACCATTCTGCAGACCGAGGAGAGCCAGGCCCCAGGGCTTTCTGGAATTCAGTGGAGCCTGTGGCCAGGGTCTCTTGCTATGTTTCTCAGCTTTAATGTGGCTGGTGGGAAAGTTTGAATCACAAGCTCTCTGGCTTGTGAAACTAAGAGGGACACCTGGGTGACCAGCACATGGTAGCCAGCACGGCGGGGGTGGTGGTGGGGTGGTGGTGCAGGTGGGGGGTGGGTTAGGGCTTGCAGCAGCTGGGAGACTGCAGGTGGCCTCTCATCCTTTTTAGATCTGAGCATGCAATCACCATGGGCCTTGTGGGGGCTCAGTTTCTGTGCCCCCATGAAGGCCTCATGAGTTCTCTGGAAGATCCTGCTTTTTTGCCAGGTGTGGCGGTGCATACTTGTGATCCCAGCACTCGGGAGGCTGAGGCAGGAGGATCACTGCAAGTTTGAGGCCAGCCTGAGCTACAAAGGGAGTTTAAGACCAGTCTGAGACCCCCTTCTCAAGGAAACAAAATGAAAAACAAAAGCTGCTTTCTCTGCCTGCCCAGGAGCAGCCTCACCATGTCCTAAACCTCCTGACCAGGATCTTGGAAGCAGCTCCTTTGACTCAGCCCTAGATGGGGAAGATATTTCCGTCTGCACGCTGGAGTTCACTGGCCTAGCCCTGTCATTTGCCAACAAGGAGTAGTTGATAGGCAGGGGAGAGCAGGATTCTTGTTGTTCCTGGCAGTGGGAAGCACACTTAGGAGATTTCGAAGACCGAGTCAGAATGAAAGTGTTGCCAGGTGTGGTGCCTCACACCTGTAATTCCAGCACTTGGGAGGCTGAGGCAGGAGGATCACTGCAAGTTTGAGGCCAGCCTGGGCTACAGAGTAAGTTCAAGATCAGCCTGAACTGTGTAAAAATAGTCTGTCTCAAAAAACAAAACAAAGCAAAGAACAGTTTATGGAGAGACAAGCAGGATGCAGGAGTGATCAGGGTGCTGAGGGTCCGGCAGTGAGCAGCAGAGAGCCTTGCCTCTGTGTTTTGTGCAAGTCCAGACCCCGCCACCCCAAAGCAGGCCTCTTTGCCTTAAGGACTGTGGAGCCTGAGGCAGTGCAGAAGAGGCTGAGGCAGGAAAGTTCTGCCTTGCCTCTGTGCATCAAGGACAGGACATAAATCTTGTAAGTGTGAAAGGTCCTCCTTCCCTCCTGGTCTACCCCGAGGACAAGTTTAGACCCTGTCTCCCTCCAAATGGCACCAGAAGCACCTAAAGCCCTGGAGACCAAAATTCCTTTTCCTCTGCCGGCTTCCTCCACTAAACTCGCACTGTTTTTTGTCAAACCAGCTGTGTAAGCTCGAATCCAAGGCGCCTGTCCGAGAGCTGTACCTTCCCTGGGTCGACCCTATGAGTGTGGGAAACAGAGCTGCCAATGCGCTTCCTTCTCTCCTCCTGTCCCCCTGGCTTGTATTAATGGGGTCTGTTCCAACGAAGCAATTAGCACGATTATAGAAAAAAACGATTCTACCCTCCTACAACTTCAAAGGTCATGGGGAGGATGTGGCCACTGCTCCAGCCCCTGACTTACTACCTAGCCCCCTCCAAGGCTGGGCCCAGGGGGAAGGGAGGGCGGAAGCATCCCGGGGCCCAGAGGAAATCTAAGGGAAGCACACAGCTGTCAAGTTGAAGTGATTTTTATTCCTGTTGCTTCCTTTCACCTGCTCATACAGCTCAGGAAATGGGAACCCCGGAGTGGCACATCTTGGAATTCTTGTATGCACCGGAAGAGTCGGGAGAGGCATTGTCACATGAGCTTGAGAACTGTGTGTCTTCTCGTTGGTACTGAGTTCATGTTTTTTGGGCTACTCAGCCTTCGAGGTGAGTGCCATGTGGTCTCCTGTGTCATCTTGAGGGAAGGTGTGTCACCGTGCTCGTTGGTCTGGTGGCTTTGCTGACTAAGCAGGTGTGACTGCCCTCAAGGCGGGCGGGGACCGCGGTGAGCAGAGCTCTGTTCTTCTGCAAAGCAACAAAATAATAAAGCTCACATCCCCAGTACCAAAAGGAGACCCGGGCTGGCCCTGGGAGGAGACCTTTGAGCTGGGCTGATTGTCACTCTGATGGGCAGCAGCTGAGTTAGGGGTTAAACCCTTCGAGATAGAAGTTGAGTTTGTCCTGAGTTTTTCACTCCACAGACGGTGTTACTCAGCCGGGGGCTGGAAGGGGTGGGGGCACAGCAGCCGAAGGCACTGCGGCCACACCTGAAGCCCCTTGGTGCTCGATGTGGTTTGTCAGTCGGGACCTTAGATAGGCAGAGAAATTCTCGCCTCTCGTCATCATGGTGCCTTGGGCTCCCTGTGGTTTCTATGGTTTTCATGCTTCCTGTGACCTAGTAGAACAGACCAGTGAGTTCTAGGATTTCACACCTTCAGTTCTGGTTAAACATGACCCAGATGAAGATGATACCATAGAAAATGCAGCTCTGTGTTCCCACTTGTCCTGGTCATGTCTTCATAATAACAAAACCCAACCCATTTCTCTTGCTTTTGTGCAAACTGTCCGAGTGATTAGAATCCCGAGAAAGGCCAGCAACTACCTGCACGTGATGCTTGGAGAGAAGGTGTCTGGTCACGGAGGTCACGCGTGACTCTCTCCCCCTTCTGCTAAGTTCACTACAGGGTCCTGACAAGTCAAGAATAGATGAGGCTGTGATTAACACGGACATAAAAAGGTGATCAAATGGGCCGCTGAAGTGGTCATTAACTTAGCAGGTCAGATGTTTTCACAAATTTAGGCAAAGTTACCTTCACTATTGCCACCATGATTGCTTGATTTAAAGCTTTCTCAGGGAACTTAGGAGGCTGAAGTCTGACAGGACGATGGTCCTGGTTCTGCTGTGGTCCCCACACTCTGTGGCAGATCTCTGTGTGGATGCCCCAGAGGTGACCAGCTCCAGGAAGGAAGCCAATACTGGGACAGCATCCATGAAAGTCACTTTTGGATGCCTGGAGGACAGGACAAGAGGAGGCTGGAATGAGAGGCCCCTTCTCACATACCACCGGCCGTGTCCCAGCCCGAGGCGTGGTGAGTCACCAAGAGCCACCTCAGGATGGGTTTTATGTACCTCTTGTGGCTTCCAAGGGGCCCCAGGGCAGGGTACAGTGCTATAGCAAACACCAGGAAAACCCCAGCCGTGCTCCAGGTGAGTACAAGTAACAAGTAAGAAGAAAGCCACAGAGTGGCCGAGCAAAGGCTCTGATAGGCAGGATCACTGGTCCTGCTCAGGGTGGGGGCCCTGGGCCACATGGTGGGTGGGCTGATGACGCTTTGCAGGAAGCCCAGATGCTTGGCGGGAGGGACACGGGGATGTGGAAGGCACACAACTCTGATAGAGAGATTATATCAGTGATGTAAAATTTCTCCGAAATGACAGCAAAAATCTTGCATTGGAAGGTTCCACTGTTAAGTCCTCTTGCAAACATTTAAAGGAAAATCAACTCAAGTCCTTCTCAGTTCTTTTCAATAAAATAGGAGAGAACATATCCTTCCTTATCCTTTGAAGCCCAGTATTACTATGGCAGCGAAGCAGACAAAGACATCACAAAAAAATCATTCCAGTATCCCTTAGGAACAGTGATGCCCAAATTCAGCTGGAAGAGATGCCAGCACCTCAGTGTGTCATGAATGTACTGAGAGGTGACTTTGAATGTGGTTACAGAACTCTTAGGGCAAGCTCTGAAGGAAAGTGACAATTACATGATTTGAGCCGGGCATGGTGGTGCACACCTGTAACCCAGCACTTGAGAGGCAGAAGCAGGAGGATCATTGTGAGTTCGAGACCAACCTGGGCTAGAAAGTGAGCTCAACTCCAGCCTGAACTGCACAGGGAGACCCTGCCTCATAAAGACAAAAACAAACAAGTGAATTACATGGTTGATCTCATTTTCATTCAATTACTTTGAACAACTAAGATCTAGGCTCTGGGTTTTGCCCTTTAACTCTGCCTGCCTATTGTGTGAGCACCTTGCAGAAAGGGCCCTGATAATTAACTCAGCACCTAGCCCTGGCGCAACGCCTTTCCCTTCCTGAACTTCAGTGCCACTCTGAGTCTTGACCAGGGGTCTCCTGCCCTCTCGGAATTCTCTTGGCTTTTTTACTGCTTCATTCCCGCCCTCAGGATATCCTGTCAAGCCCGGGAGTGAGGAGAAAGTGCTGGGTGCTTGCTTATCTGTGGTGCCTTGTGGATTCTGGTTATTAGTCTCTGGTTTTGCTCAAATGCTGGGCGAGCTTTAATGACAAACAAAACTTTGCAAAATTTAGATAGGAAAAAAAAAAAAGGTTTATAAAGATACAGTAACTGCCGGGGTATAGCTCAGTGGCACAAGCGCCTGCCTGGCAAGTGCGAGGTCCTGAGTTTGATCCCCAGGATAAAAGCAACAACAAAACACAAACAAAAGAAGCAAAATACAGTATCTAAACAATCAGGTATAAGCGAAGAGCGAGAGGGAAAAGTTATGGGCTATTTCACCTCGGACAATTTGATTTTAAAAAAACATGAGTAAAATGGATTTTTTAAAAAAGAAAAACCTAGATGTTTCAGGAAATGAGACCAGTGTTTCTTCTGGACCCCAGAACTCAAGCCACATTTATGTCTGGTCAGCTTCTGTTTGGTGTAAATGGGCTTACATGGCTAACCTGAAAACACTGTCATTTTTACTATTTTCTATAGAGAAAATATTTTCCCATTTATGTGTCAAACACCTGAATGAACCTGAATAACAATTATTTTTTTGTTTTGTTTGTTTTTTTTAATCAGTACCGGGGATCGAACTCATGACCACACACTTGCAAGGCAGGTGCTTATGCCACTGAGCTAAATTCCCAGCCCGTAACAATCGTTTTTTAAAATTTTGGTGCTATCTGTGCTGTGGTTTCTCTACAGTTGTACATAAAATGTCTTTTACTGTGAAATGAGTTAATGTATACAATACTACTTTATGCCATCATAAAGATATTAGTGTTAAAAAAAAAAAAACCTTAGCAGAATGCTAGCAAGCTGAGTCCAACAGTCTACCAAAAACCTGGAGCCAAGAGCCCCGAGATTTAGCTCAGCGGCATAAGTGCCTGCCTGGCAAGATGAGGTCGTGAGTTCCATCCCCCGTACCAAAAAACCAAAAAAGTGAAAAGCTTGTGCTCCATTTCCTGGTATGATTTATCTAAAGAATCAGATGTAGTTCAACCTAAAAAAAAAAAAAGTATCCAAATGAAGCAGCTGCTAAGGGGAAAGAGGACAGGAAAGAAGACAAAGGAAACAACTGAGTGAGATCATTGCAGTTGATACAGAAAAACAATCTAACAAGTCCAATCTCTTTCCTGGTAAAAATACCAGAAAGTTGGAATGGAAAGAAAGTTTCTTAATAAAGCAACCCCATGAACCAGAGCATCAAAGATAGTGAAGTGCCTTAGTAAAAGGAAAAGAAATTAGAAACCAAAAAGAAAAACGTTGAAGCACACACATTTTCTGATTTTAAAACAAATTGCAGTAAAATCTGCGGCCTTAGCCTAAGGATAGACAGACAGGTCAGTGGGATAGGACGAAAAGCCTGGAAACAGGTATGATTATTCCCAATCGACTTTCGTGTAGGCGAGGAGAGGGCAATCTCTTCACCCAGCCCTGCCAGCATAGAGGCTGCTGGGGTCGTAGGCCTGGCTAACGGGGACTTCATAAGTCACACACAGGGTCTCAACGCCAACCTGAGGCCAACTGTAGCTGCTGAAGAGTTTTTTCTTGAATGTTTTGAAAGCAGTGTTAAACAGAGAAGGAAGACACTGCTCTACCCCAGCCCTCATGTGTTTTATTTTGCTTTTGAGGTATGATCTCGCTGTGCAGTTCACACTGGCCTGGAATTTGCTTATGCAGCCCAGACTGGCCTGGAACACACAGTGATCCTCCTGACTCAGCCTCCTGAGTGCAGGGATTCCAGGCCTGTGTCACCATGCCTGGCTCATGTAGTTTTGATTTACAACATTTTCAACTTGTTTTTGGTGGTATCGGTACTGGGAATTGAACTGAGGAACTGAGCTAGACTCCCCGGGTCTTTTTAAATTTTAAAATTTTGAATCCAGGCATGGTCACGCTCATCTGTAATCTCAGCACTCTGGAGGCTGAGGCTGAAGGATCACCAGGCTGATCTACCTACCAAGACATCATCAGAGACAGACGGGGGGGGGAGAGAGAGAGAGAGAGAGAGAGAGAGAGAGAGAGAGAGAGAGAAAGAGAGAGAGAGAGAGAGAGAGAGAGAGAGAGAGAGAGAGAAAGAGAGAGAGAGAGAGAGAGAGAGAGAGAGAGAGAGAGAGAGAGAGAAAGTGAGAGCCAAGAGGGGCCCAGGAGCCCATGGGAGCCTGCTGGGCTGCAGAGGCACAGAGGTGCACAGCACCTCTGATGACAGCCCAAATTCTTTGCCTCCCTCCCAGGAGTGCTGGGGCGCGGGGTGTCTCAGTGTCCAAATAGCTGCTGACCGTGGGTGATGGCTGAGGAAAGACAGGACATCAACTCCAAACCTGATTCCAGGAAAACTGCTACTTTCGAATAGTTTGGCTAAAGAGGAGACCATTACCAGACCAAGTGCAGGGCTCCCTCTCAGCAAATGGAAAACTCAGGGAAGTGGAGCTCAGGAAAGCGTGGGATAAATATGGAACCGCTCCTCCTGGTCACTTCATTATCAAAAGTTATTTAATATTGACAGTTAGGCAGATGATGGACATGGTCTTCTTTGCCCTCAATCAGGCAGATTCAAAAGAAGAAGACAGTTCAGAAATGAGTTCCCGGGACAGGTCAGTGGACAGGTCAGAGTTTGAGGGTGCAGATCACATAGATAACATTAAACTTTTTGATTCAGAAGGCAGAAAAGGCAAGGCTGACATTTGGCACAGTCCAGCCACTCAGAACCAGGAACACTGAAATAAATGGTGTGAAAAGCAGCAGGAGAGGCACACCTGCTAATTCAGTGAAAAAGAACGTGGTTCTGGGGGTTTTGCACTTCTGGTACCAATGGTGCCCTTCTGTATTAAAAGAAAACCTTTAGATCAATCTCAGAGTTTGAGCAAAGAACAGTTCAGGAATCAGGCTGCCCTCAGAAAGGAAGGGGGTTCAGAGAACCCCACTGAGTAGCGAGGGCAGCAGGCTTATGAAGCTGAACACAGAAGACAAGTAGAGAAATTGATCAGTCATGGTAAGTAGTCACTAATTAAATAGAGACTTGATTAGTCCTAGTGGAGCCCTTGCCTGGGGCTGGACATGGTCTGATCCATTGTGGGCCTGATTGTGCTGTGCCAAACCCCAGAAATCTGTTACAAAAACACATTCCTATTTAAACAATTACAGATTTTTTCTCTGTGATTCAAGCTATACACTGGGATGATACTTTCCTATTGAAGTTTCCTGTAGTGGGTTGACTCTCGTTAACCAATAGTTATTTCAAAATAATTAATGATTGTGGATGTTTTGCTACAAAGACATGACAAATGTTGGAAATGAAAGATATGCTAATTACCTCATGATACCACGGTTATAGGTGTCAGAACAGCACACTGGACCCCATAAATTTATATGGCTATGTGTCAGTGTAAGTCAATAAAAAAATACACCCCTTTACCAAAAGCAAAACAAAACAAATTATGCCAGTGTAGCTGATACAAAGAAGTGAAGAGGGTGGGCCTCTCCTTCATGTTATATACAATAACTAGCTAACTGGACCTGTGACCACAGTATAAGAGCTGAGATGATACAACTTGTGGAAGAAAATACAAAGGTAAATCTTCAAAATCTTTGATTGAGCAATTAATCTTTAGCTGCCGTACCAAATACATAAGCAACTAAAGGAAAAAAATCAATGAATTATACATTGAGATTAAAAATTTTTACTCTTCAAAGGACATTATCAATAAAGTGAAGATATTTGGAAATCATGGATTTGATAAGGTAATAATATCCAAATATGTAAAGAACCAGACGACCCAGCTTAAAAATGGGTAGAGCATTTACAAAGATATTTCTCAAAAGAGTGACCAAGGTCATGATGAAG